TCAATAGGATGCTGAACATGTCCAATGTTTCTCTATGAGAATCGTCAGGCTGGTAGAGAGTGGCTAATATCGTGCAATCACAAGTGATTACTTCTTGAACAAAGGAGAGTGTCCGGACCCTGGAATAAAGGTACGTTTTATGACAATTTTTTTTCCGATTGGCAGGGAGGCAACACTCTATGACAAGAACACTCTAATATAAAATAATATATCTATATTTTAAACATTAGTATTCCTTCAACTGCCTTTCAAATCTGTAAAATGTGGTGTATTTGGGTTATTCCCTAAATCATTGGTGTAAATGTAGACCCCAGATGTTTTAGAAATACAACTTTGATGAAGTTCAGACACTCTAAAGGCTGGCGAGATATCAAGCAAGGTGCAGTTCTGCAACATCTGGGGATCTACTTTTAGAAATTAACAGGAAATTACAAATATTACATAAAACTGTAAAACATTATCTATGTCAAAGCATAACGCTGCACATACAGGCTCCAAGCACCATGACCACTTCAAATCTCTGAAGTGGTCATGGTGCTTGGAGTAACCCTTAAGCTCAAGGGTGCCCAACAGGTAGATTCCCCAGATGTTGTAGAACTACAACTCCCATGATGCTTTGCATGCCTTTAGAATGACAACGCATCATGGAAGCTGTAGTTTTAAAACCCCTGCTTTAGTTACCGTATATTCGAAGCATGGGCTTGTCACCAGTTGGGTACCTCAGGGATCTGTACTTGAACCCATTCTCTTTAATATTTTTATTAGTGATTATTGCAGAAGGTCTTGATGGTAAGGTATGTATATGTAACTGTATAACAAGCGGTAGATGCTGCTGTGCTTTTTGTAGGCAGATGGGAGCAGCTTTCTTCCAATTAACATAAAACCCATGAACTATTAATAGACTGTCATCCAATAAATGTATTTATCTGTCTCTGATTCCATAGCTGCTTGCCAGCATCCAGTGCCAAAGACAACATTCTGAAACTCTATCGGAGAGCATTTGAATAACACATTTGACTATGTAAAGTTAGATGCTCAAAACTCCAGATAGGAACCTGATCTGTACTGCATGACCCCACACTTGCCTCGAGAAGTGTCAGATAGGGGAATCGTAAGGTTACAGGTATCATACACTACCAGACGTACAATAATGCAATGTTCAGTGTACACAAAGCATTATTAAAACATACGCTTAAGATGACAAATAGATGCGACAGCCACGCGGATGGATCCCATATGTAAGATGCTGGTAGCTGCAGACATTTCGGAATATCTGCCATTTCCAGTCTCGGCAAAACGTATCTTCGGTTTTCTTGGTAAATTAGGACGCAGCCTTCCACGTGAGGACTATATTACCAACAGCATTGATGGCGCTGCTTCCCAGCTAGGATTGCAAGATCCGCCATGTTTCCTGGACACGTCACTAATAAACATTGATCGACAGCAGATGGGACGTGCTGCCCAGCATTACGTAGAATCAGAGAAGGATCAAGTTCACACGGGGCCCTAGAAAGTGTGCAAGCTTGCTCCCCTTCATTCTTCACATAGGGATTGTCAATAGGGCCCGAGAAATATCATGGTTCTAGGGTTCCTGTATAACACCCGGGCCCTAGGGGGACATCTAGCGTTACCTTATGGTTATTCCTGCTCTGTGTAGACTTCAAATGCTGCTGAATGGAAATTAAGTCATCAATCAAGGACCAATCCTGCAGACTATAAATTACATATCTCCCAACATATGACATGGACAGAGAGGGACACTGTGTCATTAGGACTCTATCATAGGCAATGGTCATAGGCTGCTATCCAGCTCAGAGCATAAATAAATGGAAGGTTTCAGTCCTCCTAGAATAAGTATGTAGTAAAAGGCTTATTGCAAAAAAAAGAAAAAAAAGAAATTTTTGCCTTGTTAAAGGAACATTCTATGAACCATAATCACTACAACGCACTGTAGTAGTTATGGTGCTAGGAGTGACTACCGTAAGTAGTCAAACTGTTTTTGACAACTTACCTGTGTCCCTGCTAGGTGCCCGCAGCCTCACTTCCAGTTTTATCCTGCAGCAGAATCCAGTTACCTATACAGAGTTAAAGCGACAGCTAAATCTTTATGGAATACTCCTTTTGACTGAGTTGGAATTAGCTGCAGGGAGCTGGCTGAGTCTACGGAGGATCCCATAGTCTGGCTGCATCCTCCAAATACTTTAATGCTGTACTCTGGTGCATGCGCGAGAGTACAGCAGGGACATCGGCTCCTGGTGAAGAGGAGCAGACGAAAGATGATGGCGGCGCCCTCAATGGACAGATTCAGGTAATGTCAACGTCGGGGATCTTGCAAGTTCTGCAAAGTTCCCAGATGGTGATGGTGCCGATTTTAAGCAGGCCATGCTGGTGGAGTCTTGCTTTATTCTGTAGAAGAGTCATGATGAGGAACGGGCACCTGGAGATTACAGATAAATTTTTCAGACCTACTGTGTGATGGCACCAGAGCTCTTCCACCACTACAGCGGCCTGTAGTGGTCATGGTGCTTGGCCTGTACCTTTAAGAGTTTGATAAAGGCCGCATATATAACGCTTTTCCTGGCTCTGACTTTCCCTCTTAATATTGTAACAGCGACCTCTATTGGTCATTTCAATACATATCACAGGGAAAAGCAGAGAAGGGGCTGAGCCAACTGGAAATAAATTTTATGGATGAAAATCAATATCATCATAGATGCTAATATTAGGGTTTTGTATCTAAAGACTGAAAGGTCAATGAGCAGAATATGATGCCTGGAACTGCCCAATAAGCTAATATCAGCCATACTGAGGCTGCCTTTAGTGTATACACTGCGCATGTTGCTCTAGCCACAGTTGCCAACTGTCCCATTTTTGCCGGGATAGTCCCATGCTTTGGATTCCTGTCCTGGCAAAAAAAAACGAGTTTTGTGCCCTGTCCTGTGTACGTAACGTGGTAACCAATTAATACAAATAACTTTATCATTATTATAACAGGAAGACATAGGTTAAATTAGTGTATAAGGATTAAATAACGCAGAGACCAGGTCTTTGGGAATTCAGGTAGCAAAGCCTCCCTTCTGCACTCAAGATGCATCGAAACGGGAGGGTGACTAAAATATGTTTTCTTTATTTCTGTGTGTGTATCTGTCTGTGTGTGTGTATAGTGTGAAAATCTCTTTTAGTATATTAATGTATCCCTTTGAGTGTATCTGTGTGTGTGTCTGTGCATTTGTGTGCTCATATGTAAATACATCCCTGCATTCACACAACTCTACATACAAATACACCCTTGCAATTACACATACATACTCCATTTTTGGAGTACCAGTGCTCCGGCTGAGTACCTCTGTTAAAGTTCCCTCTCACCGGAAAACAAAGTGCTAACGTGATTATAGCATTTTTCTCAAACACTAGACGGCACTTGGTGAAGGGTAAAACACACACTTTATTGGGGCACAGGCACATATTTATAGGGACAAACAGAACAGGGGGGTCATTAACGGTGACAATAGGATCCCTCCCTGGTGCTGCTATGTCAGGGGAAATAACTCAATTAACTGTGAATTATTTTATTAACTTCCAGACAGCATTGGTGCCTTACAATAGCAACTTCAAAACTTAAGTTCTCCCAACAGTAGATCAACAAATGATATATCCCTAAACAGGGCTAATCCATACAAGCAAAATCTGATGTACCCAGCTTAAGTAATTAGCCGGGCTGTCGCTATTTCTCGATCCAGTAAAAAGGGTTCCTGACTTTGAAGAAGGGAGCTTCCCACTGGCTCTCAGTGTGCATCAATGGTTCTTCATCTTCCTCATCTCCCCTCCAATTAGCGCTTTCCTGGGCAACTTGGTAACTGAGCAGGGACGATCGTAAGTTGCACTGGGCGCCTAGTCTGACACCCCCTCTTACTCTGTTACCCACCTTCACTATGTCACCCTCCCTCTCACTCTGTCATACCCCTTACACTAATGTAACCCTCTCACACTGTCACCACTCCTCACACTATGTCATTTTCCCCACACACTCTGTCACCTCTCTCTACACACACTGACACCACTCTCGGCGCACACTGTCACCCCCCTCCATACACACTGTCTCTCCCTCCGCACACACGGGCACCACTCTCCGCACTCGGGCACTCCCCCTTCATTCTCACTGTCAACCCTCAACACTCTGGCACCCAGCTCCATACACTCTGGTACCCTCCTGCTCTTTTACACTCACCCTGCCACAGTTACCCCTTTACTCACCCTGTCACCCCCTGAAGGCAATAATTATACACACTGTCATAAAACATAGCTCCACCATAAACTCAGTGCCAAAGGCCACATGCAGTACACAAACATACAGATGCTCAGAGAAACATACATACATATACAAGGATACTCACTGCCAGACACACACTCTCAGGCACATACAGGTAGACAATGCAACAATGTATACAAAGACTAGCTCTCTATATCCAGTGCTGCAAGCTCCCCCTTCAATATATCTACAGCTTCTTATACACACACACAAATCAGCTGCTATTTTTTTCCAATAATGGTGTTAGTGTGGGCCTCATGTATGAGTCTCGCCTAAGGCGTTGCCAAGTCTAGAGCCGCCACTGCTTATCTGCCGTCACATTCTATGTTTCTACATTTCTCTACCACGGGCTGCGAGGCCGCACTAGATAGTCCGGCGGGCGCCGTGTGTACCTCCTATCACTGGTCACCAGGATTGTGCCCTGAGGTCGGTGCGCCCTAAGATGGCTGCATGTGCGCATTATACTAGCGTCGACCATGAAGCTGATATGGTGAATTTTTCCAGTTCGGCTATTTTGGCCTGAAATTTGAATTGCTGTGTTACCTTTTACAGAGTATAACCCCTCAGCTGACACTCAGCCCCAGATACACTTTAAACATGCAGACTGTGTCTGTCCTCCAGCTATCCCTGCCCTACCATGCTGCATATATATCTCCCACCACCAGGTGGCGCTCTCTCCTAATCACATACTGCAGGATTCTAAGCAGGGCGGGCATTGATGACGTCAGCGCGCCGTTAGCCCGGTGTAAACATGGCGGATTCTGGGCCCCCAGGAGCCCAGCAAGGATCAGATACAAACACCCCGGTCTGTAGCTTTCTCTTTAAGAAAAGCACGAGGAAGTTCGCCGGACGGAAACGGAGAGAGCAAGAAAGGGGTGAGAACCAGGAAATTAATAATAATAACAGGAATAGAGAGAGCAAGGGGGAAGAACCTGGGGGGAGGGGGGGTAAGAAGGGGGATTCTAATAACAGGAATAGAGAGAGCAAGAGGGGTGGGAACCAAGAAATTAAACATAATGGAGGGGGAGAATGAATGCAGGGAGGATGAAAGGGGTTTGTACCGGGGGTTAAGAAGGGGATTCTAATAACAGGAATAGAGAGAGCAAGGGTGGAAGAAAGGGGTGCAAGCTTGTGTCGTAAAAATGGATTAAAAATAAGAGGAATAGACAGGAGAGATGTGGGGTAAAAAATTTTTTTACAATAAAAGAAACAAAGAGGAAGGAAGGGGTACCCATGTTGGGTTCAAAGGGGAATTAAAAATAACAGGACTAGACAGGAAGTAAGCGGGGTTGGTAAAAAAATAATAAAAATCCAAACCTCAGCAGTAGAGCGAAGGAAAGGGGAAGTATGTGGGGTAAATGGTAATAGAGGATGAAAGAGGTTGGAGATGTGGGGGTAAAACGGGTTAACAATAATAGGACTAGAGAGGAAGAAAGGGGAACGTGAGATAAAGAGATTAACAGTAAGAGGAAAAGAGAGATCAAGAATGGCGGGGCGTGTAAGGATAAAATATAGAAGATAACTAAAAGGAGTAGAGAGGAAGAAAGATGTAAACTTATTGGGCTAAAAGGGTGTTGGAAAAATAAGAACGTGCTGGGTAACATTTATAGCGGAGATGGTTAGCTATCGCCAGTAGGCCAGAGGGAAACAATTATTTCAAACCACTCAGTAGACTATGGATATTCTATGACCTTATAGATTCTGTAGGACAGCTTACCTTCTTGTGCAAAACCGCGAGCGGCGACACATCTTTACATTATTGTTATGATAAAAAATATGGGCACCAACATCTCTGCCTTGCGGGTACAGTTAGAGAGTTATGTTACAGTGAGTAGGTCTGTGAAGACTAGTGCTTGGAAAATAATAACATTTCTAATATAGACATAAAACTATTTCCCTTCATTATTTCTGAAATCTAGTAGTCAGTAGTAGCATTGGATCTGTGCTCTTGTATCTACAGGAAGCAGTGAGGAGGATGAAGGAGAATCTGTAGTCAGAAGAAAAAAGAAGGAATCCGTCAACCCGATGGTCCAGAAAGTACGTGACATGTTTAGTTTTCTCTCTGTTGCTGGACAGATAGATTGCAAGCTCCACAGCTTTCTTGGCATTACAATTAATGTGAGGTTCTTTTATTCAGAAATGTGCAGATAATACAATCTCTGCTTTCTTTGTCACCTTATGGTAAAGGGGGTTAAATCATATAGTCCTGTTCTTCTCTAGAGACCTAGTAAACGTGTTACAATTCTGCTGTTTCTTACTTTGATAAGCTGCACGGAGTCTGTACTTTGAAACACTCATCTGCCACTGCTTCCAGTAACCCACCATACATTTATTTCTCTTGGTCTTTCTCATTCGATCTCTAACTATATGTATTGTCTTTCTGTTTCTTTACCAGACTAAGTCCAGTTTGAAGGAAGCAGCTGATTACAGAGCAAGTAGTAGTGATGAAGAAGATGTGTCAACAAAATCCATCAATGTGTCCTACAAATCTAGCAGATCTGCGGTAAGACATTTCAGGACACGGGTGCCCAAAAGGTAGATCCCCAGATGTTTCAAAAATACAGCTCCAATGATGCTTTGTCATTCTTAAGGCAGGCAAAGCATCATGGGAGTTCTAGTTCTGGAACCTCTAGAGATCTGCCATTTGGGCACCCCTGCTTTATCATAAGAGTTAACTTTACACACAATTCTCTGTTTAAGTAATATGCAGCTTATTATTCTGTTAGATATTTATGTAATGTAAAAAAATAAATACTGTAGATATGGGTAGAACAGGTAATTCTCTCGCTTTTGTGGAACAGAGTGTACAATGAGCCAGCTGCATGCATGAACCACCATTTCTGGAGAGCTATTTATTGGCTAACCCTAGTTCAGCATAATATTTACTAGTAGGGAATAATTATCTACTGTATCGAAAACAGTGCTTCTGAAAAGATTGATTCCTTAAACTGATGTTTGATTTGCTCTGTATTTCAGAAACCAGTGGGGCCAGACGATATGGGAGCCACTGCCACTTATGAACTGGATACGGAAAAAGACAAGGATGCCCAGGCCATATTTGAGAGGAGCCAGAAAGTACAGGAGGTGGGTGACCTTATCTCATCCTTTCGCCACGTGTGAGATGTCATAGGACACTGTTCTCTTTATGTACTTTTCGCTAAATGTTTTTTTTCCCTTTTTCTCCTGCAGGAGTTGAAAGGAAGAGAAGACGATAAGATATATCGGGGCATACACAATTACCAGAAGTTTATTAAACCAAAAGATACGTCTTTGGGAAACGCTTCCTCCGGCATGGTGAGGTAGAAAAACACTTTCTTTTCCACTAACTGCACCTATTTTTAAAATGCAGTAAAAATGCCACCATCTCTCACTTATCTCCCGTTTATTCAATAAGGTATAGGCTTCCTTCTACTGTAGAGAAAACGGATTTGAGGATGCATTGCAGGTTATCTATAAAGAATAATTCTGAGGCAAAATTCTAAATGTGAAGCCATCACCTAGGAAACCAATTCAATATTTCTGCTCCTTTCTCCACTTTTAGAATCAGTCCTTATTCAAATTTCCCATATGATACTCATATTTGCAGTTTTATAATGTGAATATCCCTCTCCTCTTTTTCCTCATGTTTTGCAAACATGATTTTATGAGTCTCTAGTGTTTTGAGCTAAATGTACATGCCTCTCTGCCTGGCCTTGTGCATTACAACTCTGCCCCTCTGTTCCCCACATACCCAACAGCACATTCGCGGTACTAGCTACCCATACATTTTGCTGTGAAATTTAAATGACTTATGACCTATGCATTTCTTTTTTTAAAGTAACAAGCATTTTAAATCATAGGAAGGGACCGATTCGTGCTCCTGAACACCTGAGAGCCACCGTTCGGTGGGATTACCAGCCTGACATCTGCAAAGATTACAAAGAGACCGGATTTTGTGGATTTGGAGGCAAGACTGGACTGCAGCCCTTTCCCTAAACACTTTACCTTTACTTTATTATATGCCTGCTTATTTGTTCATGCTTCACATATATATTGTCTCCTCTCTTCCTTCAGATAGCTGCAAATTTCTCCATGACCGCTCAGATTACAAACATGGCTGGCAGCTGGAACGGGAACTTGAAGAAGGACGTTACGGAGCGAACGGTAGATTATTTACATTGCACAACTGATCGATAAATATATCTGATTTACTCAATGAGTGAGATCTATGCATGGGAACATTCTTTACTAATAAAACCAATCTAGATATAGTGCAATACAGTCGGCCTAATAAGTGGAGTTCAAATTTAGATCAAGTAGCTTATAAATCTGGGGTAATAAGACAGGTGGATCTTCTACTCTGACAGGAGTACAGTCCACATAATGCTTGACAGAGCATTTAAACCTACAAGAAATTGATTGTCTGTGTCTGACTGAGCATTGTTGAGTTTTGGTTGCATAATAACTGGAGACCTGAATAGAATTCTCAAATAATCTAAACAAATTATCCTCCCTGAGAAGATTAGTGTTGAATATACCAACACTACCTTGACATAAAACGATATGGGAAAACCATAAGGAGGATCATAGTGTTTCATCTGTAAAGATCACCTTACTAAATAAAGTGTATGTATACTCCTCACATTATGTAATTCATAGCTGTGTCACCCTTATACATTTTTGTAGTTGACGAGATTGTTGTGCCTTAACCCAGATATCTGCCATGACTTCTTTTCCAGATGAGGAGAATTATGAGGTCAGCAGCGGTGACGAAGATCTGCCTTTTAAATGCTTCATCTGCAGAGAATCCTTTAAACAACCCGTGGTTACCAAGTAGGTTGGCTGTATCCACTGCACAAATGCCCCAGTTTACTCTGAATATATTAACCCCTTAATGACATGCTCAAAATAATGGGAACCGGGATATGCTGGACTGTATTGCGTTAATTAACGTTGTGTGCTGTAACTGACATTCCAGACTTTCTACATGGTCCCTTCTACTGTAGTTGTCCCCTGGTTGGCCAAAATGTATACAGTGGAGCCTATAAACAGTGAAGCAAGACCCAGAGCTCATTAAATTGTAATTGGTATGACTACTGTCATGTTGCCACAGGATTTAGAGACACTATCATAAGAAATTATATGTATTTTCTTTCCTGTTAAACATGGCTTAACGGAGCAAATATGTTACTCAAACTTTCAGTGTGAGCAATAAAGATATTTAGCAATACAACCATTTTAATAAACACAAGAAGAGAACTAAGTAATCACAAATATAGTTTTTGAAAGGTTGTCCACAGATCACTGGTTCATTTTATTTTTTTTAGCCAAATTTCTGTGTGGGTGCTAGGGTAAGGATGAGATATTAAATTGATTTGTGAGATTCACTTGGAGCATCACGAAATGTCGTGCTAAAGTGTGAACTGTCAAATTCTAAGTGAATTTTACATTTTAGGCCAAAAATAGCAGATATGAAGAAAACAAAAAGTCCCGTTTTGGTTCTTTGGGCCTAAAATTTGAAATTCACTTTGAATGACCCTGAAAGAGTCCTATTCTTGAGTTTAGGGCAAACACTTCTGTATTAGAATGTTTTTCACTTTGCCCCGTGATACCACCTTTTACGGTTTTCCATTTTCAGATGTAAGCACTATTTCTGTGAAAGATGTGCCCTCCAGCACTACCGGAAATCCCAGCGTTGCTATGTGTGTAACACACAGACCAATGGAGTCTTTAATCCTGCTAAAGGTGAGTTCATGAAGAATTGGCAGACCAATAATGGCTAATGCTGGGACTGCAGGTGTTTCAGAAATCCTTTTTCCCATTCTACCCCTGCGAGTCTTTAAGCCAGGTAGTACCAGTACCCCCTCTATTTACTATTGGCCTCCTGCCATCGTTAAGGCACTCTCTGCCTCCAATGTAACCTTTTGTAACCATGCATTATTTCTCTCCCTCCTACCCCCCTTTCTTACCATCTAGATTTAGCTGCCAAACTAGAGAAGCACAAGGCAGAAGAAGAGGCGGAACATTCCACTGAAGAGACAGAGTAACTCAGCAGATATTTCCTGTATATAGTGTTTTTGTAATGAATTAAAGGTTTCTACAAAAAACAACAAACACTTGAACTGACTGAGAATAACTTATGTATTTACGTTTAAACAATGATCTCACATTTATAAGCTTAAAAAGAACATTCCAAGAACCATTACATCATGTGCACCCTGTAAATATTATGCATTAAAGGGACACTATAGTCACCAGAACAACTACAGCTTAATTGAGTTGTTCTGGTGAGTATAATCCATTCAGGCTTTTTGCAGTAAACAGTCTTTTCAGAGAAAAGGCAGTGTTTACATTACAGCCTAAGGACACCTCCAGTGTCCACTCCTCACATGGCTACTAGAGGAGCTCCCTGGGGCAGTGCTGACATTCAGTGTCTCCACCCTTTGCATGGAGACACTGAACTTTCCCCATAGAGATGCATTGATTCAATGCAACTCAATGAGGAGGTGCTGATTGACCACGGTGGTGTTTGGCTCTGTTCTGGCCTGCCTCCTTGGCTGAGACTATCAGAATTGACAAGATCAGCCAATCCAATGCTTTCCTCTGGAAAAGCATTGTGATTAAATTAGTTTATAAATTCTGTCAGTCAAGGGACCAATCGGGGCAGAGCCAGCATCAGCAGACTGGAACAAAAATTAAGATTTTACTATATTTAGGGGAGCCAGTGTTTTTAACACTAAGGTCAGGTATACATGTTTGTGTGTCTGGAGTGTTCCATTAAAGGAACGCTATAAGGTCAGGTACACAAAGTACTTCACTGTAAACAAAATAAGCATTCTCTATCTGGTATAATAGCTGCAGTTCAATAACAAGGAGTTCGCCCTCCCTTGTAGAATACAAATCAATACAAAAAAAAAAAAAAAGTGAACCGCGATGTAGCTTCAAATTATATACGTAGAGGGAGAGGGTGATTTCCAAAAATATGTATCTTAAAGGGAAAAAAAACCTAAACAAAATAATAGTGCTGCATATTAACAAATCATGCCAAAGGAACACTATAAATATCTGCACTATTTGTTAATACACTGTACTATTTAGTTTTTTCCTTTTCAAGGATCACTATAGGATCAGGAACACAAACTTATTCCTGACCCTTTAGTGTTAAAACCACCATCTGGGCCCCTCATGCCTCTATAAATATAGTAAAAACATTTACTGTATTCAAGCCTGAAGCTGTAACTCTGCATGCTGTTAGACTCAGAAAAACAAGCAGTCTGCTGACATCAGAAGTGGTGGCCTGATCCAATCACAATGCTTCCCCATAGGATTGGCTGAGACTGACAAAGAGGCAGATCAGGGGCAGAGCCAGCATGATTCAAACACAGCCCTGGCCAATCAGCATCTCCTCATAGAGATGAATTGAATCAATGAATCTCTATGAGGAAAGTTCAGTGTCTGCATGCAGAGGGAGGAGACACTGAATGTTTGGATGCATTTTAGGCAGCCATGACCCAGGAAGGATCTCTAACAGCCATCTAAGGAGTGGCCAGTGAGGTTATCACTAGGCTGTAATGTAAACACTGCATTTTCTCTGAAAAGACAGTGTTTACAGCAAAAAGCCTGAAGGTAATGATTCTACTCACCAGAACAAATTCAATAAGCTGTAGTTGTTCTGGTGACTATGGTGTCCCTTTAAGATACATAGTTTTGGAAATTACCCTCTCCTTCTTCTTACGTAATTTGAAGCTCTAGCACTGTTCACCTTGTTTTGTATGTATTCATTTGTAACACAAAGTACTTAGGCCTGCTGAAATACTTTGTGGATTTGTAGTCTACACATTATCTCCAGGAAAATAAAATACTCAGAGTAGTATTGTTCATATACCAAGAATATGAAGAGTTGTGATTTGTGCACTCAAACATTCCCTTGATTGTAGGCATATCCTACTCAGAGTTTGAGGTTTCCAGAAGAATGAATGGGCATGTGGGAGAGAAACACATAACAGTGTAATATTGTTAAATAAAAAAAAAAAAATGGCTGTGGAGGTAGCCAGAGGACTATGAATGTAAGTTGCTGATTGGGAGTAACGAGGGACAAAACCTGACTCCTGCCCAACAAGAAGGAATACCATAGGAGTAAGATGTGCCAAGAACCTCTGAAAGTACTGCGCCGGAAGCTTTCTTCACTGGTTTTGTGATAAGGAAGAGGTTGGTGAAAAAGAAACCATAGACATCCACCTGGAAGCAGAAACAAGAGGTGGCTATCTACTTAATTCACTGTGGAGAATCACCATCTCCGATCTGCTGAGCCTATTATTTCTGAACATTCTGTAGGTGGCATTTAACAATATTACACTATTTGTGTTTATTGCTCTCCCACATGCCCATTCATTCTGCTGGAAACATCTGAGTATGATAAGCCTACAATCAAAGGCATAAATCACAACTCTTCATATTCTTGGTGTATGAACAATACGACTTTGAGATTTTATTTTCCTGTATATTGTTGAGGACGCGGAGGAGTCCTATTATCCATCTACATTGTTTGAAGTAAAAATGGATTTGTAGTCTGACACTTTTATAAACTGTCCCAAAAAAGACAATTTCAATAGGTGTCCCTTAAGACAGCGGGGGAGATGTTTTCCACAGAATTAAAGGAAGTAGCAAATATGCTGTTATACAACATTGAGAAGTATACTTAAAATGGTCAAATTGTAAACTCCAAGTCGACCAAAATGATCCTCTATTACACTGTGGAATTTGGGTACATTTCGATTCAGAAATTCGAAAAGACACCAACCCTATCAAAATTCGGCTGAATTTCAATTGGGACCAAAGTCAATCTCAAGTCTGTCGATAAGCATAAGAAAGTCACTATCGTTAGTGCTTATAGCTCCAGCAAGAACTTCTCAATTTGATTGGTCATGTCCTTGAGGGAAGGGTTGGTAGTTTTAGAAGCTGTTTTTTTCATATATCCCCAAAGAAAACATGCATGTCTTCTATGGGGGTATATCTACTAAATAGTTACATTAAATGGAATGTTCCTTTAAGACTCGCCATCACCATACATATGGTTTATTATGAAGGTAAGCTTTGAACCTGACTCTCCTCGCAGTAGGAAGCTATGCTCAGTACATATCCAAATAATTACACATGGTATGACGATTGCGCAAGCACAGACTATAATATATATATATTTATATTTGTGCTCGGAATTTATCTAAGACGTAGTGGAATGTACAAGGGGAAGCAAAGTTGGTTGAGGTGTGCATATATATATATATTTTATTGCAGACAGTAAACAGATGAGGTTTAGGTCTGTGAAAACAGAGCTCATTCACACAAATGGCAAAAGGAATAGGTGAAACATCTAAAGTTTATTTATTTTGGCAACAGGAAGTGTGTAACAGTGTCTTGTTTATATATCGTAATCCCTCTGATTCCATTGTGTTAAACATTCCCAATGGGGAAAAAAGCAGGACCTACGAATAAATTATCAAACCAAATGCCATAAAAGGACACGTCAAACATCCCCATTTGAAAGTATGAACACACCTATTTCAAGACATACTTATGTATGGATTAACATACTAGACCTGGAGGGTTGGGTGTATATTGGGTTTCTCCTAGGCAAGCCATCCTTCCCTAGGTATGAGGGGAATTGATGCATTCTCGGATGGACTGGATCCATCCTTTTTCCTCTTTGGTTCCAACTACTCTGTCATTTTTCTCTCACGAGAAAAGAGAAATCTCCAATCCAGAAAAGCAAAAAAATTCCAGAGACAAAAACAGTGTTGTAACGGGATTGTATATTGATCATAGCTTACTTTAGTGTTGCCACACTGCCTATTTTAATGTACAGTAAAAAGTTGTTTTTTTTTATAAAAAGTTATGAATAAGAAAAATGGCAACTCAAATGAAAATGCATACTAGAGAATCCAATTACTATGGCTACAGAAGCAGAAATGATTGACGTTAGGTCTCAAGAGCCTCATATTAATGTCTAATGACAAGAGTAGCAAGTAAATAGGAGATAATAAATAAATAGCTAAGTAGAAAGATAAAGAAAAAAAAATCCCTTTAAGTCGGATGTGAGATATGCCCAGTCCTGAAAGAGTTAAGACAGATCTTGACTACATCACAATGAAAACAAGACATTGAGAAAGTGTGCAAAAATGACCGTCATAAACGTTGACCTGATTTTAATGCTGGAATGAAGGTTAGAAACCCCATTGGTTAAACAGGCCTAACCGCTAAAGAACAGTGGAAACTCATTAAGTGCTAAAAGGAAATAAAATAACATTAACCAAAACTTGACATATAGATGCTGGGGAAAAACAACATTCAGCAGTCAGAGCGGTTTAATGTGAAACGCAAGCTACCTGCCTTTTACTGTCTGAAATCTTTCATTGCTTCCGACTGATTGGTCATCGCTTTAGTTTTGTGAGCAGTGAATTCGACCGGTCCTGAAGAAGAGTGGTGGGGAAAAAAGTGGTGTTTTTTTTGTTTTTTTGTTTTTATAAAAGTCTGAAATTTACAAGTAAAGTAACTTAAACCGCTGATAAAAAAAAAATACAACACTCACAGGATTAACAATTAAAGTAACAATTCAAAGTGAATTGTAAATTTAAGGCCAAAAGTAGTCGAACTGGATGCATAGCGGACTTAGAATCTCTCCAGTTTGGATAGTTTGGCTTTAAAGTTAAAATTTACTTTGGATTCTCAGTTGAGTGAACAACCTTGTCAGACAGTCTTTATACACTTAATGTAAAGTGATTTTTGGTAACCGGTCCACTTTAAACATATAGGAGATGAAAAGTGTGAGGTTAAGAGGGGGGACACTTTACAAAGTATAGTCAAGTGCTGCCACATCAACGGTTAACCCCATCGCTAGGCACGGTGCAATGATTTCTAAGACTTGTGGTGTTGAAAAGTTTCATTTCATGCACCCCTCCACCCACTCCAATCCGAAGTGCAAACCCCTGGGGTCTGTGCAGTGTAAACATGAACAGGCTTTCAATGGCCCTCGATCCCTTAAAAGTCCCAGTCCTCCACATCAAGCTGCTCCAAGCTGGATACCACTCCTGCCATGCCCTGGGGATCCGAACATTGTGCTCCCTCGAAGTTGGTGATTGGTGAAACAGGCCGCAGGAGCTCCGGAAGTGCTTCACATGCCCTGCGCTTTATCTGCAAGTTACACAATGAAAAGGATTGTTGATTGAGGCGATAGGTATTACCAGAGGTTATATTAAATAAAAACAATCTCTCAAGCTACGCTCGGTCCCTCCACAACCTCTGAAGGTCTGAGGCTTCCTGAAAACAGGAAGCTTTGGACCGGACACTTTTCTGAATGGGAAGCTAGTCATAGGTTGAGAGCGACAGTTGACGCTCTCAGTCTATTAGCCGTGTCCTGTCCAAGGGCTTCCAGATTTAAGCTTTAGATTTTCAAAGGAAGTGGAGGGTCAGAGTGATCGGTCGACGACTTCGAGACTTTGGGGATAAACCGTTCACTGTTGCTTTAATCTGTTATGGTAAGACAAAGCCAGGATTTTCTTGCATCATAACAACTTCATTGTAATGAGGCTGTTAGGGTGTCTAAATTGCTGCTTCACGTTCAGCCGTAAAAAAAAGTCTAAAAATTCTGGTATCTGTATTTCACTCACAACCATCAGAACAGTATCACTATATTGTTTTCTGATGCAAATGTAAAATGAGGGTATGCACATATTAAGCCAAAATACATGAATGGAAAAGTAGCCAAGTTTTTAATTTTTAAATAAATTTTTTCATGTATTGATTAACGGTGCCAAGAGTCAATGGAAACAACCCTCTGTATTATTTTCCTAAACTATTTAGTCTGACCAAAAAAACAAAACAAAAAAAACCCCCAAACAACATGGCTAGCAGTGATTGGCTGAAGTACCGATCTAGCCTGTCCCAGCCAATCACTGTCGCTCAGGTTTGACAAAGGTGAAGATAATGTGGAAGTGTAAATTCTCCATTATAAATCTAGGTAGAGCCCCATTTTTAGTGGGTTTTTTTTCTTTCATAAAAGGAGCATCTATAAATTTCACATTGGTCATAGTCTGTCATCCAATTCATGGGATCCTCACCTGTTTGAAGAAGGAATGATTGAGGAGGGTGCCAGCGTTTGGCCTGTAAACGAGAAAGGATGTATATTACACCAGTGTACGTGGAATCGGAGAATCAGTTGGATGTAAGCTGGCGCTTTTACTAGAGCCATCAACCATTATAATAGATAGAATAAGTAGAATTTTAGCAAAATAGGTTATTTCAATTGAGGATCCTAATACAGAGGCTATGGACGTTTACACAGTCTAAGTCTCGCGGTCTGCGTGCCGCGCGGAGCGTTGCCACGGCACTGAAGGCCGCGGGTGTCGCAAGACTTACACTGTGGGCAGAACGGAGTTGACAGGGGAGCTGCACGGAGGTGAAGGTAGCTGACAGGAGCTGCTGTAAAAGTAAGTAACAGCTTGCTGCCAGCCCCCAACAGGACCGCTGGGCTTGTAACGAGCCCAGCGGTCCTGGTCTGTATTATGGCAATGTATGTTGCCAAAATACAGACCTTGACTCGAGTATAAGACGAGTGGTGCTTTTTCAGCACAAAAAATGTGCCGAAAAACTCGTCTTATACTCGAGTATATACGGTACTCAAGCACTAAACAATGTCTTTATAGAAGAAAATCCATACAGATCTATTACAGTGACACGGACATTTACACCAAACCCATTATTTTACATGTTCACATGTAATTGGCATTTGTGGGGAGATATTCTCCAGATTTACACCATTTTTGTTTTTTAAATGTATATTTTGTTATTTGTTATTATAAGCAAAGTTTAAAGTGATATAATTAAAATCAATTACATCTTAACAATCTGTTCTTTGGTAAAACCAAGTGATCCGTCCAGTCTGGAGCTGGAAACAAAGCTTCCCATTTTTAGATTAGAAATCAGTGAAACAGCATTATCTGCCAATTCAGCTGGAAGAATATGCCAAGCATATTATGTGTTACTATGCAGTCCTCCATGATGAATAGGTTACCAAGCATTTGTAGCTTATAGACAATTTTGTCCAGGTACAACTGAACCAAACAGAACTGCAAAATTCTCCAGATTCTTCATAGATTGCGCTAAATATTCATTTACATTTAGCACATCCAATATTTTAGATTAACAAATGATAGATTTTGATGTTTAAGATCTAGCTGGGCTGGGCCAATAGTCTAAAAGTCACCAGTTTGGATTCACAGATCCAGCTTATTAAAATAAATAGAAAGGTAATTTTGTGCATCCTAAAATAATGCCATGTATATGTACACACTGTATGGGTCACGCCAGGGACTTAAGACATACAGAGCTTTACCAGAGGAGTCTTATACCTGCTCCAAGCACCTCTCACCTGAGATCAGGGTTCCTCTGCAGACATTGCTCTACCAAGTTATGAAAGTGAGAGGAGAAGCTTCGGTTATAAGGGTGCATTGACGGCTCCCCATTAGAAGGACGACAGGAGGTCCCCTCTCCTATGCCAGAGTCGGCTCCTGAGCGTGAGGTTTTCATAGTTAGTTCGGAGGCAGGAATGGTAGCAGTGTCAAGCAAACAAGGAACTGTACCGTTTAACTTCTCCAGGAGCATCTGAGGTGGAGCAGAAAAGGGTAAGCAGTGACAAAGACTTACATGTGGTGTAAAGACGTCAATGTGGATATAATAATGAGTACATATTACCTGTGTGGCGGGCATGTCTTTAAATGGCACATGGCCATTGGCAAGCTCACATGCTGTGATCCCCACACTGTATATATCAGATTTGGCGTCATATCCCTGAAGGTTCTGTTTTAGATGAAAAAGAACACACATCAGTGTGACAAAGTTATTCTTAAAGTGGCTCTGTCACCTTCTGGGGTCTTTGCATATTTTGCAAAGACCCCAGGTGGTGATTACTCTACTTGCATTCTAGTGGCCCCAAGTAGTTTGTACTTACCTGAGCCTGTCCGTTGCAGTTGCTGCCATCTGCTTCTGTGAGGTCCTTCTTGGCTCCTGTTGCTTCATCTGCCAGGAACCGATGCCAGTGCGTGAGAGTACAAAACTGATGTCTATGAAGGATCCCATGAGATTGCAAAATCCTCCATAGACAGAGCCTGCTTTTCCTCAGACATCAGCAGCTCCATTATTTTGTCAAGCGTAATTAAAATACATACGACAAAGTAGTCCCTATGATATTGTTTGAATGGGTTGAAATTTCAGTGAAATTCCAACACAGTCTTTATAAGCATTTCGTAAAGATTTTATGAAATGCTTATTTTTTGCTGCGGGGAGAGGGTGACAGATCCACTTTAATATTGATTTAATTCCCGGTTTGACACTATGGAGTATGCTTCATTCTTTACCTGCTGTAAGACCTCAGGGCTAAGCCAGGGGAGAACTCGGGCACTGTGCTTAGGGAAGTCATGAACCACTTTAACACGCTGTCCATGATTTATCATACTGAGGATACTCCGTAGGCCAGAAAGATAAACCTTCCCATCCACTGAAATCAGAATGTGACTTGCCTTCACACTCCTGCAAATAAGAACAAATGGAGACACTAGAATTGCACGCTGATAAAAAAAAAAAAAAATCTATGAAACATACTAGCGCCCCCAACAGACAGACAGAAGAGAGTTAAGGGACAGGAAATCAGTTATTTTTCTGTTTTACCTGTGCACATATCCCATATGATGAATGTAGTCCAACGCTTTCAGGACCCCCAAAAGGATGTAAGCGATGGCAAGCTCACTCATTCCATCAGTGAAATGTGTAGAAATTAGATCTTTGGCTGAACCTGACGGAAAAACCCAAACATTCTGCTTTCAGGACTAATATGTAAAACTCATCTCTACGGCCTCCTCGTTACCTCCACATGAGAAAGCAAGTTGTTGTTACCAGATAATATGGGTACCAATTAAGCCGCTCACTGCAACTTCAAAGCTGCCAAACCTTGAGAAGCTGTGAGCTTCTCCAATATGATTAACTACTAAAATCCCAGTTACTTTCATATTAGACGAGTGCTGGTTTATCTAATCACAACCTGCTATCATACTTGCTAATCATACCCTTAACTCAATTCAAGGTCACAGTCCCCCTTACCATATGCCATAAAGGGGGTCACAACCCAAAGCTCATTATCTGCTATGAAGGTAGCTCTGTAGGGAAGAATATTGGGATGGTTGAACAACTTGGACACATGGAGTTCAGTCTGAGGAAAAAGACAGAATCACAAAACAGGATGTTGAGAACCCACACCAGTAAGATGCAATATCCTACACTGAGTGGTGAATGACTTTACCTTCTACGGGTACAACATAAATAATATTGCACAGCATGCTTTTGTATGTCTCTATATGCGTGTAAGGTTTGTAAAATAAATAAAATTAAAGTAGATATAAAGTATTGTGAGACACTCGCGGGGTTTTTAAACTGGGAACTGACCGTGGGAATATATTTTAGGCTAACATTCTCCAGTTCAGCTAGCTTTGACTACAATGTATTTTATTCCTTGGAACCCTTAGTGTCTCCTATTTTGGCCAACAAGGTAGGCAAAAACATCACTGACTCCAACATCTCCTTCCACTCTTTCTTTATGCTCTCCTCTGATAAGATTTCGTACACATGGCAAAAGACAAGTAATTATTTTACCTGTAGGAAAGATACCATGTCATTGGTACAGGACTCCATATTCACCCTCCTGATACAAACATACTCTCCGGAAGGTTTGTAACGTGCTAAATTCACCGTCATCAGCTCCTCAAAACCTTTCCCTGAGTGGGGGGAAAAAAAAGTGATTAATACACTGTACATACCAAAGGTTATAGACTATGGCACGAAGCAGGAGAACCGTCTGTAATACCCCTGTTTTTCCTATTTATATTTGCCATTCCTTTATTAGTCCATAAAGATAATGGTCAAATACCACAACTCTTATTTAAAGGTCTATTTTGGCACCTCTAGTTACACCTGATCAACCCAGGAACTAACACGTCACTCAGTCAATCCCTAGCCTTTTGTGGTCACTGAATGCCTTTTTACTCAAAATAAATATGACGTTTAAAAAAATAAAAATAAAAAAATTGTACAAAATGTCAAATTTTAGCTTTATATTGTGGAACACTAAAGCACGGCTTACAGAATAAGCTCCGCAGTGATATAGAAACAGGGGCTCTCCAAGCACCATAATTACTGCAGCTCACTATAACCGTTATTGTGCTTGCAGTGTTCCTGTAAGTGAAGATCATGACTGTCCGAGTCACATTCTGGTCTGAGCCAGTCCAATTGCAGAATCTGGGAAGAAGGAGATATGCAGCAAATGCACAGTGTTCAATATGGTGTATTTCTTTACAGTATATAACAAATAAAAATAATATTACTTAAAAGGAGTATTTTTTTCTTGAAATCAAAATTGTATTCCGATTGGCGGCTCTGTGTGTTCACCCAATAAGAATCGTATAATTCAAATAATGTAGAATGTCCTATATACATTCAACAGACTCATCAGTCTCTTTGAACTATCCCTCTACATTTTCCTCCGCATGATGCTATCTGTCGGTGCTTGAAAAGAATCGGTGATGCTTTACCTCCTGTACTACAACATTCACAGCCATTTGGCCTAGACTGTACAGATAATGTCAAACCCACCTATGACAGTGAGAACTTCATAACAATCACTGTCTGGAGCATAGATCCCCATACTGTCCGGACTGCGACAAGATGCTACGGATTCGGAACTAGCAGCTTCATCAGTCTGATGGCCCAGTTAGTGAGGGAGAGAGAGCGAGAAAGCGTATGAGACTGGGGGATGGATTTGTGGTTTCACACTAGGTAGTAAGATGATGACTGACCAGCTTACATATTACAATTATGTACCTGTGTTATTTCCCTTTTATGCCTTATATCAAAGTTTATTTTTAAAGTAAATTGAAATATCTGCACCTCAGCATATATTACAAAACCAGGCAAGCCAATAATCACTGCTTCCTGGTAAAATACTTCATATTATTATTTCATTATTTAATTATTGGATGTGCCAGTAACAAGCAAGAACGAAGTACAAAGGAATAGAAATATCTAAATTTAGGAAATATATTTTCTCCCAATATTTGTTTTTCTTAATAAACATTTCATCAAGGCTTATAATGCACAATTATATTACGTGATGTGCAAGTGACAGACTATTTTAAAATAAATTAGAAAATAATTAATGATAATACTGATTTTCCAGCTGGTTTAGTCTCATTATAGGTACACACAAAGATATACAGGCAAATACAAAAATGTATACAGTTGCTAAAAATTCAGGAAAACATGCAGGGTACACATTGAAATAGTGCAGACCATGGCACAGAAAAATTGCGTAAGAACACATAGAACTATCATTATTACATGTTGTTGATGGTGGTAATGGCTATTAGATGGCTACTTTGAGTCTAAATCACATCCTAGCCATATACAAAGTCACACGTACTAACCAAATCCTAACACAGCACACTCACCAAATCGCTCAGTATTCTAACTCATCACTACATGTGTCCTCTGGTCCAGGGATTGTGAACCATGGAATTATTAGAACAGAAAGCTTTTTAAATCCAGTGAACTTGCTCTATTTACACCTCTTACACCAAAAAGTCCATTTAAGTGAAGCTGACAGTTTAAAGATAGTGTATTAGTCAGGTTACACTGTAAGGAGCAGAGTGTATAACAATCCAAAGTAAGACACCATCATTTAATTATATCATGTTAGGATAAGGCTGTGACAAGGATGGAGATTCATGGGGCAAGAGGATCTCCGCTACGAAATGTAATTTTAGTATACGCAGACTTTGAAGCCATCGAGTGTTTTATCATATTATTCAAAAGACCTTTTTAAAAATAAAAAAATAAACAAAGTTAGAAGATTGACTCCTCATTTTCCATTATTCTTACTAAAATTTTGAAAATCAAGGAACTAGGAAAACGAACATTTCATTTCACAGCTGAATGAAGTTCCCACGTGTGCAGAATGTCCAAATCTCAGCTTGTAGCCATATTAGTTTTATACGTTGGCAGCTGAAGCAGCTGTGGACTGGTTAATTAATCATGCAAATGATCTTCGAATGCTTCATGTAGGAATCCATTGTCCTATCATGTATGTCACGGACACAAAGCCCGAAGACTCAGCAACTGTCCAGGCTTTTCCTGGTGTCCAAGTGCAGCAGCTTCTCAAATTGGAGTGGAGTTTATTGGTTTTTTTTCTTTTAATTTAGTTATCTATATAATGCCTTATAAGGCAGGGCATCGTAAACACTAGAGCCTATTGTAGGGTTAAAGTGCAAGCAGTCTTTGCATTTAGCTTCTCAGCTCCTAAACCTTGACTTCTTATTCTCCAGAAATAGACAGATGACGTGTAAGTGCTAATGATCTCAATGGATGGATTTTGCACAGGTTTCACTTTTTGTGAAACGATTAAAAAACAAAATGACTGATGCCAGAAGGACTGAACCCAAACACTAACTGCACCATAAGTCACTACAATGAGCTGTAGTGCTCTTATCAGAATGCCCCTTTAAGATATTTTTTATCTATGCACATTTGATTTCTTATGTGTGCACATATTTAAACAGCTTTACAAGCTTACGGTTTGGTATTTAGTGAAAGAACAACCACTTTTATTTTACTACAAAATATCAGTTACAGGCAGACAAACAAACAATTCCACATTCGTTAACAGAGACAATCCTGATACTATACACAATCACACACAGATGACTGTCTCTTCCGCACAACACGTCAGCACTGTAAAAATAAGTAAATACAAATCACGCCACCACTCTCCCTGCAGGTACAAAACACTGTGAGTAGTTTTCATGGGACTGAAATGAGTTAAATGGCAATACACAGGAGTAGGCAGTCTATAACTCCCATAAACATCAATAAAATTGTTGCTGTAGTAGTCACTGCTGCCCACACCTGACATAAGACAATACAGGAAGCGCTTGTATGTGGGTTCCATAAACATATCGCTAAATCTAACGGTATCTGTAAAACATGCAGAGGGAATAACGCAGTATCATGCAGTTACAAAGGTGGCTACTGCACGCAAAACGTCATCACTGCAAACTAATGCAGAATGAAGGAATACGTCTTTGTAAAATCTCGATGTACGTCTTTGTAAAATCTCAATGTACATATTAAAAATACCAGAACTAAGTTGGGGATATTCACAGATGGAAAAAGTGGAGCATTTCCTGCCACTGGCCCTTTTGGTTTGTGTATCTGTAATCATTTAACATCAAGTGAAAACAGACCCCCCCTCTTCTAGGAGCACAAAATGTTTAGTACATTAGAGCTCGATGGAAATAATAATAATAATCAGTGTTATTCACTAAAAATAAAAATTGAATTTTTATTTATTTTTTAACTTTTGCATATGTAAATAAAATAATTTGTTCTAGTTGTGAATGATGGGTTGTGTTTTCCAGCTAAAACCCCCCCTACACTCCGTGTATACAACATGTTTCTCCACTTTAGTGGTTTTGAATGTCTGGATGTTTTTTGCTGTAAATGAGAGAAATTAGAAAAAAAGAAAATGACTAATACAGTCAGTCTTATTTATCCTGTACACTAGAACGTGGGCGGTTTAAACACTTATTGTAATTAACAGGGGGAAATATTCGGTGAATATAATGAAATATGTAAGTGTACAAAGATCAAGATTGACACCTTTAAAGGCATACTTCGCTTTATGCAAGTTTGGTTATTACACAAGATACCTTTTCTGAACATTGCTAAATGATGTGATAAACAATGTAATTCATGTCTGAAAAGGATAGAGGCAGGAAAGTGATTTTTTTTTTTTTTTTTTATGGTGGTAAACCCCAACTTAGTTTGAAATTGTATTCAGCGTTTGCAAACAGTGAAAGTGGCTTTCAGTGATATAACAGAACACAACCAATGTTCCCTGTAAGCGTGTTTTAGTGAGCTGTCTGGCACTGACAAATACATGTGAAATATATTTGCTTTTTTTTTAAATCGAATACATTGAATACATCATGTATCACAGACATACATAAAGTATTCAATGAGATAGACTCACCTTACCTTCAATCCAGGGCCGTCAGGTCTTCAGCTTTGTGGGTGTTGCCCTTTTGGTAAAGCCCGTCCTCATTCTTCCCACAGTCTTTGTTGATTTGTCCTGCTTGGTGTAATTCCCTAAGCAGAACAAACCTCCACTTTGACACCAACATGCATCGTCACTAGCATCTGCATTGAGGGACATCAGTCAATCTCTATACTCCCTAGCCAGTGGCGATGACTAGGAAGTTACTATAACAACCACAGCACATGCACTGTGGTTGCTATGTGTGGAGGGTAGAAGGACCACCTGTGAGAGTTGTCATCTGCATTTCCTTTTTAATCAATTCTTCAGCATGGAGTCTAAGAATTGATTGACAGGTGAGAGTAAGACCTAATTTTAAATGTTTTTTTTCCTCCCAATCTATGCATTTGCAAACCCAATGTATAAGTGTCATTTTATGCTCTTTCAAAAGTGCATTAGTTATAGGTCCCGTTGCATAAAGTGTTAAAAGAAAAAAACTTTAGCTTGTTTAGGGTCATAAAGCACTTTATGCAGAACTGTCGGGTGTGTTGCTTTTTGGACATGCTGCTCAGAGTGCCCCCTTTAAAGTAGCTCAGGCACTTTACATTTTCCTTGCATAACAATTTGTCTAAAAGCAATATTTCAAACACATTTTCATCTAACCAGACCAGGCTTCCCCAAACTCCGACCCTCCAGATGTTGCTGAAATACAACTCCCATGATTCCCATATTTTATTCATAGAATCATGGGAGTTGAAGTTCAGCAACATCTGGAGGGCCGGAGTTTGAGAAAGCCTGAACCAGACCATAGTAAGTTTATTTATGACCGAGGAGGGGTCACGGTATTTCGGTATGGAGGTGGACACCTTATAATGACCTCACAATCTACAAACTCTTTTATTCAGGGAATGTAATGTTAGCCAAACATAATTTTTATGATGAAAAACAAAATAAAGTGAAAAACAAAAAACTTGATGGAAAGTACAATGACCTATATCCGTGCTCAGAAAGTTCACAAGAAAAGTTAAAAGGGAACATTTAGCACAGCCAGTTCTCTGTTTGAGAAACACTTATATTAATGTTAAAGACTAAAGCCTAAGTGGTTTAACTCAACTAACATGATGTTTTACCAAAGCCCAAGTTAAAAGGGGATAATCTTCAAGGTTGGCCCACACCAAAGTGCCTCCTGTTACACTAAGTCCTCCATGCAACGCATACAAATGGATGGTGTAAACAAAATGGAGGGACCCACTTACTTTCTTTCGAGAGTCCCCCAAATGCGGGTCTGGAGGAAGGTAGATAAGGATCCGCTGAGCTTGGTGTAAGATTAATATCACACATTTACATTGCATTATCAATTTAACTGTCTTAATACAGGTTTGTTTTTTGCACAGCAATACAATGGACTTAAATTATTTACTGATATTAATAAAAGAACATGAATTCAAGCAATTCTCAAGATTCAACAACTCAATGAAAATAGAGAAACATGTATTAAAATGATTACCGTGAAAGGAATTCATAGTTTGCACTTAGCCGCATTCATCTTTAACTAAACACAGAATTAAAGGAGAATACTTACCTCCAAAGAACTCTAACTCTCTCAATCCATCAACCAGGATCCTGTCTGACACCCAGCGCTGCAACAAAAAAACAACAGAATAAGAGAGAAAGCTGTCTGGCATCTGGGGACATTCCAGACAAATAGGGTTACTTGTTGAGTAAAATACTGAAATAGGCGAGTATGTGCCTAGAGAACTCTGTTACTAGTACTTCTTGGTTAAAGAAAATAAATATAAATAAAACTCTGTTCATGGTCTTAACACCAAATGGCAACTGACCGGCAGCTGAATGCTATTTGGTTGTCAGAATGCAGCTGTTTTAAACCATTCGATAATTCACAAATGGCAAGTTTGGTTATTTAATCTGCACTTGTATTTCCATTCAGTTGTCTGTTGAAATTGGCTGAATCTCCCTAGAAGATGAGTGATTAGGCTATACACAAAGAGCCAAATTGCAACCAAACTGTCTTCACTCAGCTGCTCCAATTCCACTAACAAGGGGAGCTGCACATAAAGCTGTCTCAACACTACACCCCGAAACCTGGATCTTACATTAGTTGCGTCTTTTTCCCTTGCAGCAGGTACATTAAGTAAAAATCTAACGTTAGGAATACAAACGTGTTCCCAACGCCAGAGTGTTATAATATCTAGCTAGATTTAGCCTCCCCCCCCTCCCCGCATTGCTGCAAAAATCACATCTCAATGCATCTCTATGGGGAGCACTCAACATCTCCACACTGCTTGGAGCTTGTGGGACCACAAGAGGCCCCTCTAGTGGCTGTTTGAGTGGCATCCACTAGAAATGGTGTTAGGCAGCAAAGTCAATATAGCATTTTCTCAGAAAAGGCTGCATTTACTCTGCTCTGTCTGCAGGGACAAACTTGCTACCCCAAAACAACTACAGTTGTAATGGATCTGGTGCCTAGAACGTCCCTTTAAGTTACTAATTAGCTGTAATTTGGTTGAACTATTATGACATAAATCTCACTGCAGCAATGAGTACTATTTGCAAATAGCAGGGATCCATTCATCTCAAATTGGATACTAGTCAGTTGTTAAATCACAGAGGTCGTTCAACAATCGAATTCATGAGAACTGAGCATGGCAATCGGCCTAAAAACAAATTGGGCGTTTAGTGATTTCTGTTGTGCTAATTTAACATTTGGTACATATTCATTTCATTCTAAATATTACTCGGTGTTCCAAATTACTTACAAGAAAAGACATGGGGTCCTCTTAAAGTAGAACTGTTCTGTAGAGTCTACATTTCAACAAAAAGAAAAAAGTGGAATTTTCAAACAATTGCATAGTGACAATCCTTGACACACTGTTGAATTTCAACTATAACAAAAGATTATGGTAGAGAGTTCATTTTAGGTTTAACATCCTGCAATTGCTCTCTCTGAACTTTCTACATTCTAGTTATTGAAATTGTTATATCCCTCTCCCTTGGCATATTAAACTGATCCATCATACAGACCCCAACCCATGCCGGACTGTGTGTGTGTCACATTCAAACCACAGCCCCTATAACCTCTATGTCTGTCTGTGTCAAATTCAATACACCCCCTCTATAAACTCTATGTATGTGTCACATTCAATAATACACCCCCTATACCTCACTCTGTCACATTCAATACACCCCCTATATCTCCCCCATATCTGTCACATTCAATACACCCCCTATATCTCCCCCATATCTGTCACATTCAATACACCCCCTATATCTCCCCAATATCTGTCACATTCAATACACCCCCTATATCTCCCCCATATCTGTCACATTCAATACACCCCCTATATCTCCCCCATATCTGTCACATTCAATACACCCCCTATATCTCCCCCATATCTGTCACATTCAATACACCCCCTATATCTCCCCAATATCTGTCACATTCAATACACCCCCTATATCTCCCCCATATCTGTCACATTCAATACACCCCCTAATATCTCCCCCATGGCCACATTCAATACACTATCTCCCCCATATCTGTCACATTCAATACACCTATATCCCCCCCATATCTGTCACATTCAATGCACCCCCTATATCTCCCCATCTGTGTCACATTCTTATTTTCTCCCCCCATATCTGTCACATTCAAGCCACCCCTATATCTCCCCATATCTGTCACAATCATCCCTTTTAATCCCCCATATCTGTCACATTCAATACACCCCCTATATCTCCCCCATATCGGTCACATTCAATACACCCCCTATATCTCCCCCATATCTGTCACATTCAATACACCCCCTATATCTCCCCCATATCTGTCACATTCAATACACCCCCTATATCTCCCCAATATCTGTCACATTCAATACACCCCCTATATCTCCCCCATATCTGTCACATTCAATACACCCCCTATATCTCCCCATATCTGTCACATTCAATGCACCCCCTATATCTCCCCCCCCTATCTCTCTCTCTGTATAATAATGATAGTAATAATATTAATGACGGTCAGTCTGTGTATGTCGCGCTCTGGTTGTGTCACAGTTAATACACACCGCCCCCCCCCCACTCTCTGTCTGTGCGCGAGCCTACCTCGCAGTTTCCGGTTGTTCCCGGAAGTGCCCCCGAGGTGGGCGGGGCTCGCAGTCAGGGTGTGCTCGGGGGTCAGGACACGTCACTTCCGGTGCGGCCTGGGGAGCAGGAGAGGTGAGAGCACCGGGCGGACACACACCCAGAAACATAGTAACTTTATAATAATAATAATAATAATAATAATAATATAATATACTGGGTCTGGGATTACACACGGTGTTATTATTATAATATACCGGAGAGGGAGTGATAATGATACAATATACTGGGATAACACACTGTAAGGGGTCTCTGTATTCCTGCCGGTTAATATATATATACACATTATTCATGTTATTATTATTGATATTATTATTATTATTATTATTAATGATATTATTGTCTTAGTGCTGTATATCAGGCTGTATGGTGCTATGATATTCAGTACTGCTGGTGATAGTAGTGTGAGGATATTCTATTGCCGTATAGTGCTGGGAGATATATATAAACACACGCTATTTGTGTAGTGGAGGTCAAAGGTTGAACCGTCAGATGCTGTAGAAAAATCTTCCATACGTTTCATGAGGGTAAAAGGTTATCTGTTCCCCAGGGTTCAGTGTTATAACACACACACCGGGCCAGTCCGGTTACAGTAGGCACACCGCGCCAGTCCGGTTAAAGTAGGCACACCGGGCCAGTCCGGTTACAGTAGGCACACCGGGCCAGTCCGGTTACAGTAGGCACACCGGGCCAGTCCGGTTACAGTAGGCACACCGGGCCAGTCCGGTTACAGTAGGCACACTGGGCCAGTCCTGTTACAGTTGGCACACCGGGCCAGTCCGCTTTCAGTAGGCACACCCGGCCAGTCCGCTTTCAGTAGGCACACCCGGCCAGTCCGCTTTCAGTAGGCACACCGGGCCAGTCCGCTTTCAGTAGGCACACCGGGCCAGTCCTGTTACAGTAGGCACACCGGGCCAGTCCGCTTTCAGTTGGCACACCGGGCCAGTCCGCTTTCAGTAGGCACACCGGGCCAGTCCTGTTACAGTAGGCACACCGGGCCAGTCCGCTTACAGTAGGCACACCGGGCCAGTCCGCTTACAGTAGGCACACCGGGCCGGTCCGCTTACAGTAGGCACACCGGGCCAGTCCGGTTACCGTAGGCACTAGGAACTAGCAATACATCTACCATGAGAGGGAGAATACCGAGTGTGGATCATTTATAGATCTATATTATTACTTTTACTGGTATTTATATAGCGCCAGCATATTCCATATCGTTTTATATATATACACACCTTAAATTTTGCAATCGTGCTACTAGCCAGATCTTAAAATGTACTCACCACTGCAAGCTATAGTATTCCACCAAGGAGTGAATTTCAACTCGTCAGGGCTAACTATTCACTCAGTGGCAAGTGGAAATTAGAAGCCCAGTATGTATTTATATATCTCACAGCACCAACAGCAATGTATATATGTCATGGTGCTGAACAGCAACAATGTATATTTCTATATTTGTCTTTTAATTGGGCACATATCAAAAATACAAAACTTGGTAAGAACATAAATGTTTCCATTGATCACCATTGTAAATTCAGTCATGACAATGGGATAGAACAAACTCATTTATCCCTGTGGTTATTAATGGGACACTATTGTCATCCAAACCCCTTTATCTCATTGAAGTGGTCTGGGCGCAATGTCCCTATCCCACTTAGTCCTGTAATGTAAATCATTGCGGTTTTTGAGAAACTGCATTAAAGGACCACTCTAGGCACCCAGACCACTTCAGCTTAATGAAGTGGTCTGGGTGCCTGGTCCAGCTAGGGTTAACCCATTTTTGGGTTAAGCCTTCCCCTATTTCCTCTAGTGGCTGTCTCATTGACAGCCGCTAGAGGCGCTTGCGTGCTTCTCACTGTGATTTTCACAGTGAGAGCATGCCAGCATCCATAGGAAAGCATTGATAATGCTTTCCTATGTGACCGGCTGAATGCGCGCGCAGCTCTTGCCGCGTGTGCGCATTCAGCCGACGGGGAGGAGAAGAGGAGGAGAGCTCCCCGCCCAGCGCTGGAAAAAGGTAAGTTTTTCCCCCTTTCCCTCTTCCAGAGCCCGGCGGGAGGGAGTCCCTGAGGGTGGGGGCACCCTCAGGGCACTATAGTGCCAGGAAAACGAGTATGTTTTCCTGGCACTATAGTGGTCCTTTAATTACCTTGGAGGACTAAGTGGGGGGACTAAGAAAGCCACTGGAGGCATTTCTCTAGATTCTCCCAAATCACGCTGGACGTGCTCACGCTGTGCATGAGGGCATTCAGTGTCGGTGAAATCCCCATTGGAAAGCATAGAAGCAATGCTTTCCTGGGAGGAGGGCCATACATGCGCATTGTTGTGCTTCACCTTTTCCAATGCAATTTCCTATCAGTGAGTGCATTAGGCCCGCCTGATAGGAAAGAATTGAATCTGATTTCTCTGATGTTGAATGTCCTCATACAGTGTGTAATAAGTTAAGGGACCTAAGGTCCAGTAAGATTCCTATAGTGGCTGTCCTAGTGCGGCAATGTAAACATCACAGTTTCTCTAAAGCTGTAATGTTTTACATTGCAACACTACCAGCAATGGGGACACTGCACCCCGACCACTGTAATGAGCTGAAGTGGTCTGGGTGCCTATAGTGTCCCTTTAAAACAGAGGTTGAGATTTTAGTGATTTTCTGCTCTTGGTAACACAGTGCTTTACCATGATAAAAATTTACTGCCCTGGTTGTGCTGTATGGGGCACAGTAAAGCAACCATCAAGTTCACTAGGACAAAAAAAAATGTTCGCCTGTTATTGTGTCTAGCACTTGGACAATATTTAGCACCATTCAGATCAGGATAAGATTCTAGCCAGGAATAGTACAGATTTTCTCATAAGAAGATTATTAGTGAATGGGGATTAACCTTTCATAATTCTAGTGTTCAGTCTCCACCTGTCAGTTGCAGGGATTAGTTGTGTAGCATGACGTATATTCATGCACTATTTCAATTTTTGGCAAATTAATTCCATTAGTCCAAGTTAATTAAACTTTAGTCTGAGAGATAACGTGCATTATTTTTTTTTCACATCTAAAATGTGATCAATAAATATACAAAGTTCAGACCTTAACCTCTTAAGGACCAAACTTCTGGAATAAAAGGGAATCATGACATGTCACACATGTCATGTGTCCTTTAGGGCAGGGCTTGACAAATTTTCTTGGAATCTAGGAGCCAGCTAGAAAAATAATGAGCCAGAGAAATTAATGCCAAAAATACAATTCTTAAAGGGACACTATAGTCACCAGAACCACTACAGCTTAAGGCAGTTGTTCTGAAGTCTATATCTTGTCCCTGAATGCTTTTCAATGTAAACACTGACTTTTCAGACAAAAGGCAGTGTTTACATTACTGCCTGGTAACACCTCTAGTGACAGTCACTCAGTTGGCCTCTAGAGGTGCTTCCTGGGTCAGTGCTTCACAATGTGCAGCACCTTCATTAATGTTCCCTATAGAGTTGCATTGATTCAATGCACCTCTATGAGAAGTTTAATTGGCGCAGTGGCATTTGTCCGTGCATGCGCAATAGTCTTCCAATGCTTTCCTATGGGGATGCATTGGCTGAGATCGTCAAGATTGATAATTTCAGCCATGGAGGTGGGGCCAGCCGCAGTGTCGTCAGCACGGCGTGGGGAAAAAAAGGTGAGTAAAAACACTCACAGACATATAGACACACACTCACATACACACAGACTCACAAACATACAGACACATACAAACATTTACTGACATACAGACACACACAAACATTTACTGACATACAGACACACTTACTCACAAGCAGTTACTTATTTAAATCCACCCAGCCTCCTTACTTCTGGAGAGCTGGAGTGGATAGGTTTTCCCTGGGGTCCAGTGGGGCTGCTGTCATCTCCCTACTCAGCTCCCTCTCGCACACTGTTTAGTGAGCTCCTGGCATCACTGCAAGCTGCACGAGGGAGGTGAGTAGGGAGATTACAGCTCCTTCACCGCGGCATTAAGACGTCCAGCCACCCGCCTCCCTCTGCACTCCGTTACCCGGCTGCGCTCTCCATAGGCTGGCCGCCCCCCTCCCTCAGCAATACATGAGCTGGCCGCTCCACTCCCTATGTCAGCCGCTCCACTCCCTCTCACAACTCTCCATGAGCCGGTCTCCCTCCCTTACTTGTCAATGACCCGGCCGCCTCTATCCGTCAGCAGTCTGCCTCAGCCCTCCGTGATCCAACTGCCTGCCTCTGCTCTCAGGCAGCCGGTCACCTCGGGGGCTGAACAGGCTCACAAATCCCAGGTGCCAAGACAAATTTCCGGGGCGACCTGGCGCCTGGGATTTGTCGAGCCCTGCTATAGGGGTTAAAGAGACACTATGGTCACCAGAACAATTGCAGTTTATTGAATTTGTTCTAGTGAGTAGAATCATTCCCTTTAGGCTTTTTGCAGTAAACACTGTCTTTTCAGAGAAAATGCAGTGTTTACTTTACAGCCTAGTGATGACTCCACCTGCCACTCCTCAGATGGCTGCTAGAGGTGCTTCCTGGGCAGTCCTGCCTAGTGTGCAGCACTACTCTTCAGTATCTCCTCCCTCTGCATGCAGACACTAAACTTTCCTCATAGAGATGCATTGATTCAATTCCTCTCTAAGAGGAGATGCTTATTGGCCAGGGCTGTGTTTAACTTGTGCTGGCTCTGCCCCAATCTGCCTCCTTGACAGTGACAGAAGCATTGTGATTGGCTCAGACCACCACTTTTGATGATGGCAGAGACAGCAGCTGCAGACTTGCATAAAAGTAAGATTTTACTATATTTAGGGAGGCAAGAGGGGGGTTAGGGAGTTAGATTGTGGATTTAACACTATAGGGCAGGGGTAGGCAAACTTTTAGCAGCACTGTGCCGATATAGGATTGTGATGTCCTATTTTTTTAAATTGAGGTGTGTATGCTGCCATATTCTGATTATTTTTACTGTAATTGCTTTGTATCGTTGTATTTGTGCGTATATGAGCTATTATATTGTATATATTCATTAGTATTTTGTGGTATCGTGTATGATACATATGAAAGGGGGATGTGTATAGGGGCTGCTTGTGGAATTGTGTGTGTGGATGGATGGATATGTCACATTGTGTGTTTGGTAGTGTGTGGGGGCTGTTTGGGGTATTGCATGTGAGAGGCTGCATGTGGGGTTGTGTGCGTGTATGTGGATTGTCAGTGGTGTTCAGTTTGTGCGGATTGTGTGTATGTTTGTGTGTGGGCTGTCCGTATTATTTGTATGAGGGGAGGGTCTTTCTGCATTTCTGTGTATATCTAGCAGTGTGGGTGACTTCCCTGGGTTCCAGTGGGGACCAGGCCAGCCAAGTACAGGTCAAGGACTGGAGCTGCAACTGCGAGCTGCTCTACTACTGTGTGGATTCCCATTCACAAGTGCTGGAATGAACTGCTCTGAGATCACTTCCTCTATGCTGCAATGCGTAAATTGAGGATTGTCCTTCACCACCTCTTCGTATTAGCAGATATCTGAAGTTTTACTGGGACTCCTGATAGGCCAGAGCCCGTTTGGCTCTAACAGCCTTGAGTGCCGTGCATGGCACTAGTGCCGTAGGTTGCCTACCTCTGCTATAGGGTAAGGAATACATGTTTGTGTTCCTGACCCTATAGTTTTCCTTTAAGCCCATTGTGATTTTGCAAATCTATATACACACAATGAACACCTTTTAACATAAGTTGTTTTCCAAACATGAGTTATCAACCAACTAAACTAGAAATAATGCAGCTGGCAATAGGTTCATCATTATCTATGTATTTCTAATGGTATATAACAAAATCAGCTCTGATAATTGTTAAACTAATCTGAAAAAAAATATTCTAAATATGAAGTAGTTATCTGATTGCAAATATTAAAGAGTATAACAACAAGCAAGAATCAGTTTTAACATTAAGAAATCAAGATTTAAATTAAACCACCCTGATAATTACTACCACACTCATCTTCCGTTTCTTTCATAAGTGCCAAGTATCCTATGATCCTCTAATTTCTCGTTATCTTCCTGCAGTGTTATAAGAATGTTGTTCACTCCCCACCTCTTCCTCACCGTCCTCCTGCTGCTGGCCTTGGGTTCCAGGGCCAAGTTCCAGGAGTTTGATGACAGCGATGATGTAGCAGAGTATGACGACAATGACTTTGCAGAGTTTGAAGATGTTGGTGATGAAGCGCCAACTGCTCGACCCCCCCACCACCATACACCCGAGCAACAGCAACATGCAGTGGAGGAGGAAGAGGAAGATGATGAAGAGGCCACCGTGGAGCTAGAGGGACAAGAAGAATTTGAAGATGACACAGAAGGACAGGTGATGATCCAGTTGGGCCGATGTATCTTTGATTTTGGTTCCACAATAGTACAGTTATTTATAAAAAAAATAAATAAAGCAACGGAGTCAGTGCTCATGGCCTCACGGCGTGGCAACTTTAGCCTAAATTATGCAATTCTCTTTTTAGTTCAATACAGTGACACACCTCAGTGTTGGAACATAACACTTTATTTCTAATACTACACTTCACTAATTAGAGAATTAATCCAAACAAACCATAGGATAATTTGTTCCTGCTGAGTGAAACACTGTAAATGATTTTGGGAGTTGCTAATTGTACAATTCATTTGTTACAGGAGGGTGATGCAGATAACGAACCCTATGATGATGAAGAGTTTGAAGGTTACGACGATAAGATGGAGCCCGGAAGTCCCAACAAGATGAAGGAACCCATCACTATTGTTGATGTATGTACACTACATGAAACTAAAATAATTACACGCCTACCGTACAACAGGAAACAGTTATTCTCTTTACATTGGAGATAACCCTCGTATGTGTACAATGTAGCATCTTTTAATGCAGCATGGAATATTGCACATGCCTTTTATACTTATATGTGAAAAAAAAATCAAATGAGTTTGTCCCTTCATATTTATTTCCAGTAAGTGGAATGTTAAAGGTTCACTATAGGGTCAGGAACACAAACATGTATTTCTAACCTTATTGTGCAAAGCCCACCATTTAGGCGGCTTGTCCCCACTTAGCCCCCTCAGAGTGGGTTAAAACTTATTTTCAGCTCTCCACTGTTATGCTGGCGCTGGCCCCGCCCCCTTGGCGACATCACAATTGCCGGGTTTTAGCCAATCCAATGCTTTCCCATGCAAAAATTGGCAAGGGGGCGGGGCCAAACACTGTTTTGGCCAATCAGCACCTCGTCATAGAGATACATTGAATCAATGCATCTCTATGAGGAAAATTCAGCGCTGAACGGAAGGGCTGAACTGTGCAGCCCTGAGCCAGGAAGCCCCATCCAGTGGCCATCTGAGGAGTGGCCCCTTGGAGGTGCCTCTAGGGGCAATGTAAACACTGCATTTTTTCTGAAAAGACAGTGTTTGCATTAAAATGCCTGAAGGGAGCTATTCTACTCACCAAATCAACTACATTAAGCTGTAGTTGTTTTATAGTGTCCTTTTAAACCATCATTGGTAACACAGTTAAATAAATTTTAATACCGTGTTCACTAGAGAAGTCTCATCCAAGTAGTGCTTTTGTTTGCTTTTGCTTACATGTTGTTTGTGCTGCCCTCTTTCAGGTGCCTGCCCACCTACAGAATAGCTGGGAGAGTTACTACATGGAGATCCTAATGGTAACTGGACTCCTCGCGTACATCATGAACTATATTATCGGCAAAAACAAGAACAGTCGCCTGGCACATGCATGGTTCAACTCTCACCGCGAACTGCTTGAGAGCAACTTCTCCCTTGTAGGTGAGTTTTAGAGCCAGCAAATGATAGAATCTACACCAGTTTGTAGGTTAACTAGGTTCCAGAACATGGAATATTAGTGTAGACTGTAGAACAAGGCAACCAATGAGAAGGTTAGTTGTCTAGTGTTTGCTAAACTGCAATCTATGTTTCTTCCAACTTTTGTTCAGTCGAAGCCTGGTGACGGAGTTATAGTTATCCAACATCTGCTAAGCTGTCGGGTCGTCACTACCTGTTCTAATTTAAGTGAAATTGAAAGGTCAAAATTTGCAGCAACTGGACCGGACTTAAATGTTCTCTTGCTTGGTTAAATGAAAATCCTAATTGTTTTCAAAAATGTACTTTTATAACAGCTATAAGTAATGTAGAGTTGCTTTTAAAAATGCAAAGTTTCTTTAAAAAAATAGTTTGAACATGACAAGTAGGTCAGTAAGCAGCTGGTGTGCAACATAAGAAAGCATACATTAATATATGTGTATTTCTGCTAACTTATTATTGCTCTTAACCTTGGGTGGGTATATGATAAGTCCTGAAGGACTCTTTACATTTCGATAATATGTATTCTAATATATTACTTAAAATATACACATCCTGCGAGATTAAGAAACAAATGTTTGTACTAATTGGAGTTACCTGTTTCTGAAATTCTCATGGCAGGAGATGATGGGACCAACAAGGATGCGGTTAGCACCGGGAAGCTGAACCAGGAGAATGAACACATTTACAATCTTTGGTGTTCGGGAAGGCTGTGTTGTGAAGGCATGCTTATTCAGCTAAAGGTATATTGACAGGAACATTACCATAACCACTGCTTGATTATGCAAACTGTCTTTGGGCACCGTAACAATGATTGCGTTAAAGCACTTTTGAGAAAACCAAAGGGGATTCTTCCAGGCCATCTGTTGTGGGTATGACAATGTGGAAGTGAACTTTTGCATTATCCATCTAGCCATTGATAGCCGGCAGCGAGCTGGATTAGCCATATGCTCACAAAAATCTGAAACTCTGCTCACTGATACATTATCCAAACAACAACAGGAGTGTGACAGAGCTCCTGTACTCCAAATGAGTAGCCCTGCCAGATCAGATTCCTAGCAGGTTCTCTGGAGCACTTCAGATCCAGTCACCGAAGCTTGACTGGGGTATCTGAGGACCTCTTTCACCGGACCAGGATGCAATAATTATAGTCAGGAGACCTTCTCTTCTGTAAAGCAGAGACTACAGCTTTTCCCCCCATGCATTAGACCAGTCTGAATGCAAGGGGTAGAATGATCTTTATTGCATGGCACACAGCTATTTATATACAGCTCCTGCGTGCGGTGGCTTAGTCCTGGTCTTAAAGGGGTTCCCGGACTTCTAAGGATGAAAGCACTCTCAATCCCCAGGTATCATCCGATGCCTCCAAAACCTCCCCTCCAAATAGCACTCTGTTTCATTTTGGTCAGATCTCAGCACAGTCCCGATCTAAAGCACGGTTCCAGAGTGTTTCAGGGTATATATGTCAGAAGCTCGATGTGTAACATGAGTCTATGTGATCCCCAAGTTAAGCTGGGAAGCACAGTAAGTGTCTCATACCCCTCCCCACAATGACAGTAGCACCTTTCAGAGGCTTTTGGGACCAGGCCCATAGTTTGTGGGCAGGAGGCTGTCATTCAAACCTCTCTTAAAGTCCGTGGCATGGTATCTTCCGTCACAAGGAGAGTCCCCAGTTGGTGTCCGATCACTTTATTGTCAAAAACTGTAGGGAGGCTTCCAAAGACTCTTAGCACGTTATCCTCCACAAAGACCTATAGTGGTTATGGTGTTATTTCTATTTACACAAGGTGCATTTTTTATTATTTTATTTCTTCTAATAAAGTGAAAGCCAAATAGGTTTTTGGCATTTTTTAGGAATTTCCAAAAGAGGCCAGCTACACATTTTTACCACTCAAAGTGCATATTGTTTCTTTTAAACATATTACAAAGATTGTAAAATATATATATTTTTTTTAAACCTTCTCCACAGTTTTTGAAGCGCCAGGATCTGCTCAATGTGTTGGCTCGTATGATGCGTCCAGCGTGTGATCAAGTGGTATGTCCTGTTTGATCTGGTGCTTCATATGGTGGTGGTAACAGATTGCGTGCCCCTTAGCTCAGCACTGTCTGGTTCCCTGTAATAACCATGATATTAACACCATGTAACTGTACGTTTTCTCTTTGTTTCCACTTTTAGCAAATAAAAGTGACCATGAATGACGAGGATATGGATACATACGTTTTTGCCGTTGGGACTCGGAAGACCCTGACTCGGCTGCAGAAGGAAATGCAGGACTTGGTATGTTGTTGATATATTTATTTATTCAATTAATAAGGATAAACCGTTCCCATGGGGTAAGATACATCATATCAAAAATTCTGTAATTTCTTTTTAAGATATTTATTCACTTGAATAGGTCAATACTTCTGTTCATGTGCAGTGTTACTGTAACGCCCAATTTTACATCCCTGATATTGTTATAAATTGTAGCAGTATTGGTAAAAAGCTCGAACACTAGATTATCCTGGTAGATATATAGGTGACATTTGCTGCTGTAATCGTCACAACATTTTGATTCCTATACCTCTGTGTGTCTCGTAAAACTGTTTGCTCCTGGTGGTATCCTGTATGAAACAACTTAAACTTTTAATTCTCCGACCAGAGCGAGTTCTGTGGTGACAAGCCCAAGTCTGCAGCCAAACTGGGTCTTCCCGAGTCACTTGCCATCCTGTCTGAGATGGGGGAGGTGACAGATGGTATTTTGGACACTAAGGTAAGAAAATAAGAAAAAGCAGTAACAATTACTCTATCACGTTGTCTTCCTCACCTTAATTAAAACCCACTTGCTTTTTTGTTTTGTTTACAGATGGTTCATTTCCTAGCACATTATGCTGATAAGATTGAATCCATTCACTTTTCGGACCAATTCTCTGGTCCAAAGATTATGCAAGAGTACGTATTGCTTTACATAAAAAACACAAATGTTTGAGATAATGATGTTAATGAAACTGGCAATAGAGATTTTTTTTTTTTAAATTATTACTAAACATCTGGCACATTTTTGTTAAATTAACTGATGTCACCTCTTCTTACTGAGAAGGCACATGTGGTGCAAGCCCATACAGATATACCATCCAGGATTCCTTGCATCCATTAAATTGTAGAATCCCGTGTGATTGACTTTTGTTTGATTTTGCGAGTGTTGCATCCTAAATGATTACACGTTTTCATATACTTCAGCGGACACTCATTTCAAAGTCAAAACTTTCAGTATTTGTCCACAAATTGTAAAGTTTCAAACAGGCAAGGAATTTTGACGACGGTTCATCAAAATGGCCATTTCAGGCCACGCAAGTAGAATTTATTTATATTCTGCTTGATTTCCAATGTAATGTATGTCCAGCAGTGCTATACTCGGGTCTTAAAATCTGTCAGGGCTGGTATAATAACAAAGAATCTACTAAATCACCACCTTGAAGGGCTTAAACTGTAAAAATCTGCTAACGTATGTTGTTGTTTGTATTTTTTTTTTCCCCAGGGAGGGGCAGCCACTGAAACTCCCAGAAACCAAGAGAACACTCCTGTTTACATTAAATGGTAAATTGAGAGCAATGATAATGGAATATGGATCGCTATACATTTTGTTTGCATCCAATCGGCAATCATTTATTCGTTTGCGTGAGATAATCTCTTTTTTTTTTTTCTCTCAGTGCCTGGCAACGGAAACGCATCCGTAAAAGACATGGAAGCCCTTCTTCCATTGATGAATATGGTCATTTACAGCATTGACAAGGTGAAGAAATTCCGGCTGAACAGAGAGGTGAGTGCATGAACTATACAGAGTGTCTATATACAGATTTTAGGATATCTCGTCATCCTCCAATTATGCCGCTCTAATTACCCACTACAGATAGGTGTATATTTTTAATAAAGGAACCTGAATTGGCGTGGAATAAAATTATGCACCACCAACCAAACTGGAGGGTATTCCATAATCTCGCTTTATTGTATTTTGCCAAGATATGTATGAGTGGATGTGAGTGAATATCTGCTTGGCATCCCATAATGCAACTGTACTATTTGTCATATTTTTAGTTCCAATTTCACCTGTCCATTATCCATTATCATGTTACTAGCAAGTCTGAGAAAATAGATGGTGTAGATGAAGAAAGGAGCACCACAAAATGTCATATCTGTTTGGTTTTTACACAGTATTAAGACTTGACAGTGCTACGTGCAACAGTGCAATTTAATATAGTTCTAGCCTATATTTTATTAAAAAAATTGCCTTTATCTTAAAAGTGAATATTTAGCCCCACCAAAACACTTGTTACAATAGTCCACCTAGCAGTGTCAGTGTAGCGTGTTTTTGCAGGAATCAGAGACGCGTCTCAGGCTTTAGGTATGATCATGCGTAGGTATTCATTCTTTATTTTCCTCCATTACTCACATGGCTGTCATCTGCTTTAGGGCAAACAGAAGGCTGATAAGAACCGCGCACGAGTGGAGGAGAACTTTCTGAAGCTCACGCATGTGCAGCGCCAAGAAGCCGCTCAGAGCCGACGCGAAGAGAAGAAACGGGCTGAGAAGGAACGTATCATGAATGAGGAGGATCCTGACAAGCAGCGCAGGCTTGAGGTGAGTGCGTTGTGTTATATAAAGTTCAGAGACTGAAATAGTACTGGAGCCATAAAACCTATTCAGTTCTTACTGCTATGGATTTCCTTTGATAACTAGTACTTTATGAAAGAGAAGCACTTCTGTAATGATTCATGTTATGAAACACACGTTTTATCGTAAGGGCATTGGCCTCTGAAGGATGGAATATGAAAATGTGTTTGTTTAGGAGAGGGAAAGACTGCTAAACAGTATATCCAGGTTATCGTTGAATTTCCGTGATACTTTGTTTGTACACCGTATGCAGGATCTGACTCTTCATTTCAGTAGATTTATTGAAAATGTAGACTTACTCTTAGGGCAGCGCTAATAGCAGTGCATGGAATGACTCTTGGTATATACATTGTAGGTGTTGGGAAATATCGGCATTCAGTACAGGAACTGTTCTCTAATTTCGGTTTTGTTCTAATATACTGTCCGCTCATGAACAGTTGTGGCATCATTCCCTGGTTCCAGGTCAGATTGAAAAAAATTTTGGTGTGGTTTTACCAACACTGGCGGTCCCTGGGTCATCTGTGGCTTGACACATGCACATCATGTATACGTGAAAGTTATGTTTCTGCATTAGCGGTATCAGACGTGGCCATATTTGGATGGCACTGATAGGCTTGCCGCGTTAGCCGATGGCTTTAGACCATCACTGCAAACGAATTATAGCAGACATTAATCATGAAAATGGTTTAACCCAGATGCATACAGTGAGATGTAGTGGTTATGGTATATAGCCTGCCTTTTTTAAAGCACAATGTATGACATTTTACTATCCCCTTGCTACACATCAGGGAAGTGTGACACAGATTAACTGAATATTAATTTACAAACGTTTGTCTGGTCCCAAATACATTGTGTTTCTTTCTTATATTCCATCTCTCCAGGAAGCTGCTCAGCGTCGGGAACAGAAGAAAATGGAGAAAAAGCAGATGAAGATGAAGCAGATCAAAGTGAAGGCCATGTAATTCGTTCCGATCTGTTTAATTGGGCTAGAAATCAAGGCGAATAAAATTGGCATCGGAAGACTGCTGCTGAATACACAGAAACATATACAATTAACTGCCACGTCGTCTCCAGTGAATACCTATTCGTTACCCTTCTGTCATTTCGTAGTACAGCTCTCACTAAGCCTGTGGCTGTGCGAGGGTTCAGAAGATGCGTGTTTTTGGTGAGCTAGTGTCATCAGCGCTGAACATCTTCTCTCTCTGGTACATTATCTGGAAATGCTGGCTTGGAACCTTGGAAGGAGAAGTTTGTTCGTTTTAAAGATTTCAGGAAATATAATTATATAGCAACTTTCAGAATGGAAAGTTTCTAATAATTGTCATACAGTATGTAAATCTGCTCCATTTAACAGCATTAACCCTCCTCCCTCATTAGGCTGAAAATTTTTGTCAGAATATATAGATATTTGGGAGGTTTTATGCCCTTCTAAATTCTTCTATGGATAATGCAAAGTATTAATGTATTTACAGCTGGGGTTGGCTGTTTCGGTTTTGTAGATTTTTTTTGTACTGCACCTCACAGCAAAATATGGGGAGTTGTAATTGCTCCTGGACTTAAATGATCAGACCATTTTGAGGTTTGTTTTTTTTCTTTCCAAAAAATGAAGGTTTTAAAGGTTTTTTGTTTTGCAGTTAAATAGCACGTTCACCTGTTTGAAATTTTAGATACCTAAATATATACATATTTAATTATATAAAAAGATAAGTTATTGAGAGTTTGTCAAAAGTTTCAGATTGCTGTGAAACACTGTCAGTCATGCCACATGTTTAAATCTGCGTCAGAGTTTTAAAGAGTTGCAACGTTGTTTATATTATATAGAGAGAAATACATTTTTAAAACGCTTGTTGGAATTTTAAAAAAAGCCATGTGTACTTACAACAACAAAAAAAGCTGTTTTCTGACTTTTCTAAATGCCTAGAGTGGACCTATTGTGCACAAAAACAAACAAACCAGATGGCATGTTTAGCACATAGGTAAACAAATTTAATAAAATAATTTGCCTGGCTCAATCGCTATCAACTAATATAAATTAAAAAAAGATATTTCAGTTGATTGCATTTGTCATTGGCAAGGTGATTACCACAATGATGACTAAATTATAAATAAATGTATGTCTATGCCAGGCTTCCCCAAACTCCGCCCTCCAGTTGTTACTGAACTACAACTCCCAAGATTCTCAGCCTATCTACACAATTCATAGAATCATGGGAGTTGTAGTTCAGCAACATCTGGGGGGGCCGGAGTTTGGGGAAGCCTGGTCTATGCCTTTCCTATTCCATAATTGAGATTTGTTTAGTTTTTTTTAAATAAGAGGGCTTCTTTTAGAAGCCATCTGTCTCTCCTATAATGTGTATATAGTCCAGGGATAGGCAACCTTTGGCACTCCAGATGTTGTGGACTACATCCCCCATAATGCTGGCAAAGCATCATGGGAGGTGTAGTCCAAAACATCTGGAGTGCCGAAGGGTGCCCATGGCTGGTATATACAATAAGATCAAATGAGCAGTCAAAGGAAAAATAAACACACCTAGCAATCTCTCAGCTGAAACTTATGTTAGCAGAGAAATTCTTTGTCAAGTTTTTTAGTTTTTTTTCTAAACTTAATAATGTGTCTTTAGTGGCTGTTTAAACAGTTTTTCAAGGTTCAACAACAAACTTAAGATGTATTTACTTATTTTTTTCGCTCACAGTATAGTTTCTTGCAATTTGCAAGTGACTCTTGAGAAATGCAGTCTTGGAATAAAACTGTTAAATATTATTTTAAGGAAATATTTTCAATAAAGAATATCTACAGTATTTGAGCATGGCAGCAAGGATCTATAGTACAGATAACAGATTATATATATCTTAATATCACCTGAACCCTTTTCAAGCTCGGGAATATTTATTATTACAGTGTATAAATCAGATGTGTCTGTAGGGGCCTAGAACACCTACACTAATTATAAAAGCAATATTAAGTTAACATATCTAAACTGAAAACATTGCTGGCTTGGTTAACTTTTCCAGTTTGGCTAAATGTAAAAATATCACTTTGAATTCCTATGAAATCATACTTAAGTGAATAACTCTCGTGGTGTACAGTATATTCTGGTGTTTAGTGAATACACAGCTGAGGATAAATATATAATAAAATCACAAGGATGCTGTAAGGAAATTTTGCATAGCTAACTTTTCACACGTGTTATTGCGATCATTTTCAGTACAGGAGGAACACGTTGCATTACTGTATTTGCCACTAGATAATTTGTATTGCTTGCCCTGCTGCTCAAATTTAATTAAATTTCCTATTTAACGGGACATAATAGTGTTAGGAATACAAATGTGTATTCTTAACACTATAGTGCTTTCTCTGAGGTCTTCGGCCCCACCTGTGGGGAGTAAAAAAGGGTAGTCTGCTTGCGCACTGCTCTCATGCCTCCTTGGCTGAAATCATTGATGATCTCAGACAAGTCAAAGCTTTTCCCATAAGAAAGCATTTCGTAAATGCACAGCAAAATGCCATGCTCAGACCATCTGATTGAAATAGCAGAGTTTTACTCTTGTATTCTGTCAGAAGCACCTCTAGTGGCTGTCTGAGTGACAGCAACTGGAGTAATTTAATCCCTGCAATTAAAATATTTCCGTTTTGCCGCGCTTTCAGGGTTAAGGGGGAGGGTGCATTGAGGTGAAATGGTCTGGGTGTCTATAGTGCCCCTTTAATTAAGGATTCTTGTCCTCTAGACTTCCAGTTATTAGGTTCCTCGATCATACTGTACTGCAATATAGTGCTATATAATAGTATGTATTCAAGTGAGTATGGAAATTTTCTAATTTCAAAGTTTTACATCCCGTCCTTTCTGCTGTGAATGGAGGAGCTAATTTATAAATCCATGCTGCCATGGTTCAATAAAAAGCTCTTAGAACACTTTTAAAAAGAAATGTCTTTTTAAATAGGCCATTTAAATAGAGAAGGAATTCAAGATTAGTTATAATTTACTAGTCCTCTTACTACTGTATCCTAAATGCAGTCTCAAATGGTTCTAATGGATCCTGACTCCATAATGGCTATTTAAAAAAATAATTCTCTGTTCAAATCACTAATTTGCACACAAATTATAAAACATGAATGCTAAGCAATAAAGGAAAGCTGGACTGTGATGGCATACTCAGGAACCTGGCATCCGGTTGCTGCTTTCTGTTAATGTTTGAGATGTGAAAGCTATCATGTTGAATAAGCAGATTGTGGTTGGCTGCATACACTTTCCCCCTTTCTGATACCTGGAGAGAGTCTTATTGCCTCCCGGGATGTTTGGCAGCTAGTACTTCCACCCTTCTGATTTTTAACTGGCAAAAAAATATTGAAATAAAAATGCTCAAATATTTCTGAGTTTGTGTTTCTTTCAGTGAATCTTGTATGAGACTATTATATCCCGTTGATTGAGAGTTAATAATTGATTTGGAGATAATAAAGTAACGTGTTTTTTAAGAAGAAGATTTTATTTGTGACTTTTGAGGGACTATGTGGAAAGTGGTCAGATTGTGTGAAATTTAAATAACTGGAAATGGAATAATTAGTAGATACTAGAAACAGAGATTAGTCAGACTTAGGAATTTCTGTAGTGGGTTGTAAAGAGGTAAAACATTTCTGAAAAGAGGGTGTGTTTTTAGTGAGTAGTTAAAGGGACACTTCAAGTATCATCATCACAACAGCTTAAAGAGATTTTAGGAGCTTATTGGCACAGTTCTGCATATTTTTTCTTCTTCTTTAAACAGTTTTAGGCAGTTAAGAAGAAAAAAAAAATTCCTGTCACACATAATAGGAAATTTTACACACACCCTTTTCCTGGACTGTGCCACCACACAATATATATCTCTGGAAAGCTTGTCACTGAGCACCCATGCTGTTTAAATGGTGCCCTGGTTGGAGAATCTGAGCCGGAATTACAGCATGTTAAAGTTTTACTGGGACTTGGCAATTTTCCAGTGCGGTGAGGCGTTCCAGTCATGTGGCGGCATTGTCCTGGTCTCCAAAGATGTGTTCTTGGACGTCTGGGAGGGAACCTCTCTCAAGCCTCTGATGCCTCCCTGACCTCTCTATTTGGAGGTTGGGGGTCCGATTGATACCAACCTTAAGATTTACTGGACCGGCATAGTCCCGAACAGAAGAGTGTTTTAGGGTATTTCCCGTTCAGGTGCTTGATGTATAAAACGAGTCCAGGTGATCCTCAGGTCCAGCAGGAAAGCAAAGTAAGTGTCCGAGGCCTCCTATCCCTCCCCACAAAGACAATAGCCCTTTTGTAGGTACCCAAGAGGCTGGCATTCATTCTCTCCAAAGGTCTGTAACACCAGAGATCCATCAAAAACTTCATATAAAATCAGACATGGGAAGGATAACCGTGGAGACCAACAGATGCCTTACGCATTTTGTGACTATTTTGGTAGAGATGTATGGTCTGGGATTGTGACGGACCGCCTGGCACCCCGACCTGGTACCTCCGTCAATCGCTGCTTCCTAGGACTTGCGAGCACAATAAGCACTCTGCTGGAACACCACAAACATCGTGAACCGCTGCAGCTTGGTTGGGGTCTCGCTGTCCACCACCCACCCTGGACCCAAGACCAGGATCCAGCTTCCAGTGGGTAGACCTCTCCTAGTCCAGAGAGCGTAGCAGGAACAGCTTTTATAATAGCTAGTGATTACTTAGGGGAGTATTGTGATATTCCAAATCTCAGTTTAATGGGAGCCACACTTGGCCTTATATGACAATCCCCATGCAAGGGGTACGCCCATATGGACCTCATGGTAGACTGATTTGCAATGTCACAGACCAATAACAATAAGCTTACAAGGCACGACACTCCCACACACATCACACAATCCCTCTCTCGACCTGGGAGGTAATTGAGTCAGATACTGTATTAACCCGATTATCTCCAGGTAGCAAAAACATTTCTAAAATCCCCACAAATGTTACATCCCCTGATAGCCCTGATCTGGGTGACAAACATATCCAAATATCACCCAGATCAGTTCAGGGGTTGAGGAATTCTATGGAAGTCACATTTTGACCGAACGCAGGTATGGTCCCGTGCCGAAAACCGTTCCAGAGAATCAGGGTTTGTGGTTGGTCTAGTTCGGTAGTTTGAAAGTGAACAAACTACCGAACAGAGTCAGCAGTCTTACCCTGGAGCTTGTTACCCTCATCCAGGCGAATGATTTCACCAAACGGTGCTTTCTAAGTTGTATAGAAACGAACGCAGGCGATGATGGAAGTCCAGCTTTGTTCGGGAGTTTCTGTGTCCAATTTTAGTTCCATGAAATTCATGCCCAAACACCGCTACCTGCGTTCATGCGAACAAGATGGCCGGCAACTCGTGGTTGTTCATAGGAAATGCAGCCACCCAGACGAACAATTAGAACACTGCGGTGAGAAACGTTCCAAGTTGTTAATAGGTGTTAACAAGCTCCAGGGTGGTCTCTGGTTCGTGCGGTTGTTTGGGAGTTCGAAGTGTTTCTGTTATAAGTCCAAAAGGCACAAACAGTGTTTTCAACCAGGGTTTAACACAGGGGCCATAGTCACAGGGTAGGAGGCTGGCAAACAGGCCCCTCCAAAGGCCAGTGGCAAGCTTATTTTCATCACATTGATGTTTATAAGCTTCTAGCTTAAAGAATGACACAGTGATGAGTGGCAGACACTAAAGCACTTTAAAACAAATAAAGGATTTCTAGCGCTAATGAGAGAATAGGTAGGCAGCTAAAACAACTCAAACCAGAGTCTCTACTATACTGAACTGTATTTTTCGCCATGTGGATAGTCTCAAATCCAGGTGATGGTAAGTGGATATGAGGAGAGAAAAAGATCGAACACAATATGGTGTAGTATCTTCTGACAGTATAAAACGCAGTAAAGAAACACACTGACAGTTATTAGGAGCTATAGATCCTAATAATAAATATATATGCCTACTATCAGTTTTCTTTCTTCTAATTCTTAGCTTCAGCCCCCCAAAAAGGCAAAATTAAAATCCATAATCCCAGACGCCACTAATGTAAAAAAATAAAACCCCTATTGCAAAAAAAGATAATCAAAAACGCACGTAATAAAAAATAATCTTTACCCATGGATTGCTTGACACAGAATGAGCTCTGATAGCAGGGTAAGCTGTTATGTAGGCTTTCCCATGCTACGACAACTATTTCCCACGCGTTGCAATATGACCAAGAACTCTCAGCCAATCAGAGTACTCTGACAGTCAAGTCTCGGGAGAAGTATTACGTCGCTCATGGGTAGAGGCCGGGGATGATCATGGGACCCACAGCAGTTGCTCGTGGTTAAGGGCTGTGGGGGACACTAGGTTTTCCCCCATTAATATTTAAGGTAGCCCCCACCTGATGCCCACTGGTGGGGGTACAGGTTTCATAGGCCCCACCTACATGCAATGGGGACTTTTCTAGCAAATGGGAAACCACCTCCAGTAATATGGGGATTATACTGACTCCCATAAACTGTTATTTATTTATTTTACATTTGTAATGTGGCAGCTGACTAGCAAGCACTGGCCAGCCGCCAAATATTTAACACGTGCCATTGAGGCTCTTAAATTTTTTTTATATGCCCTCTGGTTTTAGTAAATATGGGAATTACCAATGCAGACGGAATTTGGTCATATTCCCTAAATTTTGCCTATTCTGACAAAATCTGATGTTTATCCAATAACCCTGTGATTGTCTCACAGCTTCCAGCAGGCCAGACTTGTCAGACCCGATTCTAGCTCACTAGTTATATCCCTATGTTATTGCTTCTTTTGAACATGTAAAATTAAACACAGTCAGTTAATCAGCATTGAAGAGACCCTTGCATCAGACATGACCCCAGCTTTCTGAATTGCTGCCGCCTCACGTTAGAAGGTATGTAGTGCTATGATATGGGACGATTGGCGATTGTCTCAGTATTATGCCAGAGCTGCAATCCCTATTTTAATAGCAGTTATTCAGTTACAGATTTGCTTTTTCAATCCTTTTGGTTACTAACTGAAGAGATTAGTTGTTAGATTTGCCTGACCAACCATTTTGTTTCCTAGACATGTATAATTGACTAATGCTCTTGGGTAGTACAGGAGAAGTGATACCTTTTTTTTTTTTCTTAAATCAATCTTTGTTACGGTGGAAAAAATATGTATATATATGGTTTCGAACTACAAATCCCAGCCTTTTCTTTCTACTCTCAAAAAGTACTGTATATTGAATAATCTCAACGGCGTTATAGAAAGTGAGATCATACCTCGCAATATTGGGAGGTATGTGATTTGGGACAGTTCGGGCGTGGTATTGCCAGCACTGCAACTTGCGTCGTTGGTGATGTCCATAATGGGTGGGAACGTCCACTGAAGGGATGTATCGGCCGGGTGTCAAGCACGCCAGGCTGAGTGTAAGCCTCTAAGGCCAGCCTCTAACTTAGAAGACCATGCAGAGTTTGCTGTTGAAGTACAAGCGTGTCTAATGATATGCTTGGGTTGTGCTGCCTGGGGATTATTATTATTATTTTATTATTTATATAGCGCCAGCAAATTCCGTAGCGCTGTACAATGGGTGAACGAACGGACATGTAGTTGTAACCAGACAAGTTGGACACACAGTAACGGAGGGGTGGAGGGCCCTGCTCAATGAGCTTACATGCTAGAGGGGATGCCAGGGAACAAACTTGGGACAGCAACATGTGCGCACGCGTCCACCACCAATGGGATTAAATGAATTAGTATGGCACACAATATAAATTATTATAAAATATACACAGAGCAGAATGTACATTAAATAAAGTGTGGCCCAGAGCTGTGATGCTCATGATTGGCTGAATTACTTCCTGGATAGCCTATAGAGCCGGCAGTCACTGTGCTCTGTGTGAGGGACGGTCACTAGTATTGCTGCTGCTGCTGCTGCTGCTGCTGCTGTTGTTGTTAGAGCGAGGGCACGGTCACGTGACACTGGCAGTAGCGAGGCGGGGAGAATCACGTGACCAGAGGCAGCCTCCCGTGACGTTGGTACAGAGCGACGCGCGCGCTGGCTGATGACGTGGTAGCTCGGCGCTGAGCTCGGGATCGCCGCTCGGAGAGAGACACCGCGGGGACGGAGAGACGGTGAGACCGTGGGTGTGAGGGGGAGGGGAGAGCATCACCGGGATGGAGGGCGGCTACTGAGCATTCACTGACCGGGAGAGGGGGGGCGGCCCCGGGAGGAACACACAGGGCGGAGGGGGCGGCTAGCTGGGTGTCCC